ATAATGCTGTTGGACAAGGGAAGGGGGAAAGCCTTGAATTTGCCAGCCCCCAAGGCTGAGCATTTTACCTCTGTGTGATTTGGCAAATCGTCTGGGTGCTAGTCATTTTTTTCCTCCATAACTCAGCCCCTGGCAGCATAGCTCAGGGCTCCGTGGATTTCTCCCAGATAGGGGAGGTGGGAAGAAATGAGTTTCCCACACACTGTAAAACCTAAGAATTCCCACTATGCACCAGCGGGGAGGAAATAAAGGGTAAAAAATACCCGGGGTAGTAAGAGACCATCGTTGCTGTGTGCTTTTCAGAGCAGGGACCTACTCGACCCATGGCCCAGTGCCTCAGTAGATCTGGAGGATAAAAATGCAATAGAGGGGCGCCTGGGTGGCTCAGTGGGTTAAGCCGCTGCCTTCGGCTCAGGTCGTGGTCTCAGGGTCCTGGGATCGAGCCCCGCATCGGGCTCTCTGCTCAGCAGGGAGCCTGCTTCCTCCTCTCTCTCTGCCTGCCTCTCTGACTGCTTGTGATCTCTCTCTGTCAAATAAATAAAAAAAAAATTTAAAAAAAAAAAAAAAAATGCAATAGAGTGAGAACCAGGTCCCGACACTTTCTCTTACACAATGAGCTTGTTCCCTGGATGCCAGGTAACATGGTGCAGCAGGAGAGAAGTAGATTAGACTTGAGTGAGGACTTCCTTCCTGTGGGACTTGGAGTCTTGGCAGTGCCTCAGTCCTGCCTCTCTCACAGTTGGTATCCAGTCAGTTACCACATGTTATGGTTTGAATTATGTGCCCCAGAAAGATACGTGGAGGTTCTAACCTCTGGTACCCTCTTTTAGAAAGAGGGTCTTTGCAGATGTAATCAACTTAGGAAGAGGTCATCAGGTAGACCCTAATTCAGTATGCTGGGGTCCTTATAAGAAGAGGAGAGAGACACAGAGGAGAAAGTCTTGTGATAACAGAGCCAAGACCAGGAAACAATGGCCAAGGAACGCCAAGGATTGCTAGTAATACCAGGAGCGGGGACGAAGGTGTGGAACCCTCGGGGAGAGCAGACTTTGGACCCGTGTCCTCCAGACCATTTTCTGGGGCTGCCTACCAAACTAGGTTGTTGGAAACCATGAAAATTTATTCTCTCGGTTCTGGAGGCTGGAAGTCCAAAAATCAAAGTGTTGGCAGGGTCAGTCAATTCCTTCTGGAGTCGCTGAGGGAGAACCGGTTCCAGTCCCCTGTCCTACCTCTGGTGGTGGCCGGCCATCCTTGATGGCAGATGCATCACTTGAGTCTCTGCCTCTGTCTTCGCAGGGACTTCTCTGTGTGTGTCTCTGTGTGCTGTCTCCTCTTCTTAAAAGGACACCGGTCGTTAGTCAACCGCAATCCAGTTGACTTCACCTTAAGTTGATTCCTTCTGCAAAGACCCTGTTTCTAAATAAGGTCAAGTTCCGAAGTTCTGGATGGACATGAATTTCAGAGAACACTACTTAACCTAGGACACCACACCCCATCAGTTCTTCCTGTCTACCTCTTGAATCTGAGCACTCTCTCCACTTCTGCCGCCCCCCCTGATCCCGGCATCGCTGCTCTGACGGTCCTGGTAGCTTCCCCTTGGGCTTCCTCTCCAGCTCGTTTCTCACACAGCAGCTCAGAGGCCTTTGAAAAAGGCGAAATAGAACATGTCACTCCCTCCCCACTGCCCTTAGGGTAAACCCCATCCCCCCCCATCACCTGACTGGGATGACAGTCACACACAGACAAGAGCTCAACAAATTCATGCTGAACGAAGCCTGTATGTGGACCCTTAGGTCCCCCTGTGAGCTCCGCCCACTCCAGACTCCTCCCTGGAAAGTGCCAGCGCCACACCACGGGTTTCACATCCATAGACTCTGATTCTAGCAGCAGCTCTGCAGGAGAGGCCCCACGGCTGCCCCCATTTTACAGATGGGAAAACCAAGAGTCCAAGAGGAGAAAAAGTAGTCACATGTGGCTTTTGGTCCTGTGGAAGCAGGCAGATGCCAGAACGGCGTTAGATAGGCAAGAGGTTTATTGCGGGGAGGGACGCTGTGTAGGATGAAGGAGAGGGAGAGGAGGAGGTGCCGAGAGCCTTTAGATGGCAATGTGGTCTCAACCTGGGGGTGAGGGGAAGAAGCTTGGCGGGAAGATCCTCGGACTGCAGTGCAGCTCTGAGCAGGTCTCGGCTGGACTGACAGGCGGCACCAAAGAAGGTGTACCAGTTTGCTCAGGCTGCTCTGACCAGACCACAGAGCAGGTGGCCTAAGCAACAGACATTTATTTCTCACAGTTCTGGAGGTTGAAAGTCCAAGATCAAGGTGCCAGCAGGCTGGTTTCTGATGAGAGCTCTCCTCCCGGCTTGCAGGTGGCTTCCTTTGCTGTCTGCACGGGGCCTTTCCTGTGTGCACGTGCAGAGAGAGTTCTGGTGTCTTCCTGTTCATATAAGGGCACTGGTCCTATAGGATTCAAGGCCCTTTTCTCCAGATGCGGCTGGATCAGGGGGTTAGGGCTCTACTACATGGATTTGGAGAGACACAGTTCAGTCCATGATACAAGGTTTGCCCGTCCCAGCATCATCAGGAGCAGCCCCACTCTGCACCCCCTGTCATGCTTCGTTGGGCTGGGAGCAGCCCCAGGCAGGTGTGGCCTGAGCTGACACTACAGTAGATCAGAAGAGTCTCCGTGGCTGCCACAAGTCTTCATAATAAGCGGAAGAGCAACACTCACTCAGAGTCTGCTGGGTGCCAGGCACCGTTACAGGGCTCGGCATCTCATGGGAGCCCTGCACAGCCCATACACAGTAGGTCTGCTGTCCCCATTTTATCACTGGGGAAACTGAGACACACAAAACCTAAGCGGCTGTCTCTGGAGATGTCACAGCAGGAAACACTCTCTGTGTCCCAGCCTGGCCCCCTCCCGCTTTGTCTCAGGGTGGCTTGGGAATTCACAACATTCGTACTTCTTGGGTCAGGCTAGCCTGTGAAGGTGTCTGGTATAAACTTTCTGCCACACATCCCAGCTCTACGGGATAGCTGCACAGCCAAAAGCACTCACTTTGACAGGACCCCACCCCTATCTGATTGACATCCAGGGTTAATATACTTGTAATAGGAATTTGAGTGGAGAGCCCAGAGAGGTCTGGTGCTCTGTCCGAGGCCGCACAGCAAGCCAATGGCAAGGCGAAGAACAGAACCATCAGTCTAATGCTCCTAGCCTAATAGTAAAAAATCCCCATGCCCTGCCTCAAAGCAGCTTGGCCTACTGCAAAGAATCACCTGGCACCCTGAGTTCAAGTCCCACCTCTGCCACTTTTGAGCTAGGTGACCTTGAGCACATGACATCTCTTCTCTGGGCCTTCATTTTCTTGTCCAGAAAATGGGGAATAGCAACATCTTCCTTCCTGGGCCTCACCTTGGACCTCACGTGGCCCCATTTTACAGATGAGAAAATGGAGGCTCTGGGAGGTTAACTAACTGTCCAGAGTTATTAGCCAGTTTGGAGCCAGACCTGGCACCAGCAGCCCTTGGAACATGTTGCCTCTGTTGGTATCTTTGTTTATCTTCCCAGTAATAATTCTTGGGAATTAGGAACTGTTGTAGTTCTTCCACTGTATTAGAGGGAAAATGAGGTTCATGGCTCTTTGGGAGTAGGATTTGGATCCAGAACTGGGCTTCAGCTTCTGTGAGCTTAACCACTATGTTCTACCCTGTAGCAGCAAATGAAGATGAAAAACAGGAACCTCAGAATCGCTGAACCTCTATTAAGCAGGGATCTGGCCAACCCTGCTCCTCCAGCCTCTCCAGGGGCCCACCTGAGGGCAGCTCCCCCTGGACAGAGGGCACAAGGCAGCAAGGAGTGGCCCACAGGGCCTCCGAGCAGAGTGAAGGAGGGAAGCATCAATCCCTGATCCCTGGAAATGGGGTGGATGATACCCTTTATCACCCAAATGTAATCATTTGGCTTAGACGGGCTCGTGGCCAGCCAGCCCCCAAGCCATGAGCTAGATCTTTTCCACCTCCTTGGAACCAGAGTGAGCCCTCTGTGGCCCGCTCAGAGCTGCACCCTCCCGTGTTTATCTAACTTCCCTGACCCTGGCAAGTGCTCATGGCCTTTCTCTTCTTTCTGAAAAACCAGGACACAATAGGAAGCGTTTCCTTGAACTTATTAAAAAATCCAGACTTGTAAATTAATTTGTCCGTGTTGTACAAAGGAAGTGCAGATGGACTCATTAGCATGCACACAACAAATAATTATAGATGAATTTTTAGCTGGCCTGCCTAATGCGCTTGCTGGGTTAATTATGTCAATGTATAATTACATCAGCCCGGGGAGACATAATGGCATACCCCGCTGAGCAGGCCCTGCCTAATGACGGGGCGTGGGGGGAGTGCTGACAGGGGAAAGACGGCAGCGTTCTCGCACACCTGCTTACCTCGGCACAAATGCCCATTGTCAGAGCCTCCCGCCACCTAAACAAACAGACAGGAGGAGAGGGATAAAATGCAGAGGCGACCTTGTTCCAGCCGGACCTGAAGGCTCCTGCGTGTAGGCACTGCCCCATTTCTTCCCTCAGCAGATGTTTGTTGGGTCAGATTGTGTGTTGGACTTCATTCACCCACCAGGGGTCCAGTGGGGAGTGAAAACAGACGCGGTCCCAGCCCTGCCTTGTGGAGTTGGCAGTCCAGTGGGTGTTAATTAGGTAGACTTGCAAATCAGTGAAAATTGTAAGTACAGTGAGTGCTCTAAAGGAAAGGTGCAGGGAGCTGGGAGAGCTCAGGTGGAGGAATGACTGACTGGTCAAGGCAGGCTTCCTGGAAGAAGTGGCATTTGAGTTGCAGTATGGAAGGTGATTAAGCATTAACTAGCTGAAAGAGGTTAAAGGAGAAGGCAGGGTATTCATGTAGGGGAACCCACCAGGCCCTGCGGCCTCAGCCTAGGCAGCCCTCAGCCCTCAGGGCTCCCCCCCACCCACTCCTGGGCTCTTCTCTCTGTGTATGCAGACCCTGTGCCTGTGTTTGAAGCGACACGCAGCCTAGACGACAGACTGCAGCCCCCCAGCTTCGACTCCACTGGGCAGCCGCGGCGAGATCTCCACACTTCGTGGAAGAGGCACCCTGAGCTCCTGGGTCCCAAAGGTACTGATAAGGCCTTCATGGGATGTCTCTAATAAACAAATGGGCTGTGGATCTTCAGCAGCCTGGCTTGGCCATCTTTGGAGGGATGGGGGTAGGGACGCCTAGGAGCTTGACTTTATCATTTTCCATGTAGGGTGGGTTATGGTACACCACTGCTGAAACAACCCAATCCCAAATCGCAGAAGCGTAATATATTTAAAGGGTGGGAGGTTGGAGGAGACACTCCATGTGGTCACTCACACACCCAAGCTGTGGTGATCCTGCCGTCTTCAACACTTGACATCCCGAGTCACAGTGACTGTTACAACCAGCCAACGGGAAGAGAAAAACTGCAGAGGATCATACCGCGGTTTATGGGTCCAGGCTCAGACGTGGCACACAGCACCCCCAGCCACATCCTGGTGACCCAAACTCCGTCATGGGGCCCCACCCAGCCGCAGGGGAGCCGAGAAGGGCAGACTGACTGTGTGCCCCACAGGGGAGGGAAACGGGATGTGGGGAACACAGCACTCGCATCGAGCGAGGCAAGTCAAGAAACTGGGAGAGCTAAAAATAGAGTTCAGATATACATATATATGATTAAAATGTTTAAAAGCAGGAGAATGATGAACAGAAGCGAGCATGGTGGTTACCCGTGGCAGGTGAAAGAAGAGGTCTCTGGGGAGGAGAAATGCGGCCATGAAAGCTCTCAGTGACCATCTGAGTCTTGGGTGTTGGTTGAGCTTCAAGCCCGACACTGTCATAGGCACCGGCGACATAACTGGGAGCAAATAAGGCCCAAATCCCTGCCCTCGTGGCTCTGACCTTCTAGAATGTAAGGCTGACTGTCAACCAATAAATGTTAAATATACAGTACTTCCAGTGTAAGAAAGGCTTTGGGGGCAAATGAAGCAGAGAGGAGGGGACCAGACTAAGGAATAAATGAGAATTTACCTCAAAGTTCAGCAAATTTACCTTTTTTTTTTTTTTCTTTTTTTTGTAAAGGGCCAGAGAGTACATACTTCAGGCTTTGCAGGCCACATATTTTCTGTCACAACTACTCAACTGTGTGGGAAAAAAAAGCCATAGAACTTGGGTAAATGAGTGGGTGTGGCTGTGTTCCAATAAAACTTTATAGGCAAAACAGGAGGTGGGCCAGATTTGGCCCAAGGGTTGTCATCGCAGACCCCTAGTCTACCTCCTGGAGTCATGGAGATCATGGGCTGAGGCCCGCCAAGTCAGTCTGACTGCTCTGGGGCACTCCCCATGTCACAGCCCCCTCCCTTCCTTCCAGTCCCTAGTGAGCACCTACTGTATGTATGCCTGGTCCTTGGCAGAGTCCTCTGGGGAAGATTAATGGTGACTAAAATACAGCACTTTGCCAGCTCTGTTCCTGTACCTAGAATGCCTTTCCAGCCTCCCTGACAAACCAGCTCATACAGCGATGGTTCTGTGCGGCCTCTGAGGTCCCTCTAGGGTTTGAATTTCCCTCTATCAGAATAATGACGCTTGTGGGAACTGCCTCTTGAGAGCATTTACTCTGTGCCATGTGCCTTTCACACGGTTTCCCACTGTCTCCTCTTGTCAACTTTCTGGAGTGTCACTGGCCCCGTTTGACAAACAGGTTAACAGTCTCAGAGACAGCAAGCAGTCAAGCAGGGATTCAAACCAAGGGCTCTTGACCTTGGCCCTGGCTGTGTTTCTCCGTGAGAACACTTGTCGCTGTGCCTCACGATGGTCAAACCCCGTTTGTTCACTGCTGTGTCCTCAGCCCCTGGAACATCCGTGTGTGTGTGTGTGTGTGTGTGTGTGTGAACAAGCCAGGGCCTGAAAACTGTCGGGCCCTCAAGGAACCCACTCTGCAAACTTCCCAGCTCTGCACTCAGCAGAGAAGCCTAACAACTAGGACAGAGCTTAAAGGAGTCAGTCGGACCCAAGGCCAGAAGCCCAGATTTTGGGATTCTTGAGACACCCCTGATGGCCTGTCCCTGAGCACCCTTTCTCCCCATGACGAATTGAGTGCCCAGGGCATACACACTGATTCCCTGAAGGAGCCACCACGGGCCTGCAAAGGAGACCTGATGTGGGCCCTGTGCAGGCGTTCCCGCAGATGCAGTGGGCTGTGACCGAGCCTCTGAGTGTGCGCCGTCAGCTGTGGGGAGGGGAAGTTAAACCCACAGCTACCCCATGGCCCAACACTTTCACTCCTAGGTGTCTACTCCAGAGAACTGAGAACAGGTGCTCAAACACGTGTACACACATGTTCGCAATAGCCCTATTCACAGCCGCCGAAGGTGGAAACAAGCCAGATGTCTATCGGCAGATGAATGGGAAAACAAAATGTGGCCTGTCCATGAAATGGAATATTAGTGAACCATAAAAATGAGTGATGGTCTGATCCATGCTATAACCTGGATGAACCTCGAAAACATTTTGCTAAGTAAAAGAAGCCGGACGCGGAAGGACATATATTATGTGTGATTTCGGTGATAGAAAATATCCAGGATATGAAAGTCCCCAGAGACAGAAAGCAGATTGGTGATTGCCAAGGGTGGGGGGAGAGGAAAAGGAGTGACTGCTTAGTGGGGACGGGCTTCCTTTTGATGACATTCTGGAATTAGTGCTCACAGTTGCACAATACTGTGAATGTACTAAATGTCACTGAATTGTATACTTTTATGTATATTTTACCATGACCCTTAAAAAAGTAAAAAGGCCGAGGAGGCAGGAACTGGTCCAAGAGGATAAAGGAAGCTTCTGGGCATGCTGGCTGAGGCTGGCGCACTGGAACTTGACATTCATTCACACATGCCCCCCAGGGCAACAACCCAGCTGACCATGGTGATGGCAGGTCTTTCCAGCTGCACTCCATCACCTGAGTTTGGAAAACTAAGTCCCAACCCTCCCAGTCCCTCCGATTTGCAGAACACAGCTCTGGCTGCCGTGCCACTTCCAGTGATGCGTGGTTTTCCCTCTTTTTTCCCTCCAGAGCAGAGAGAGGGAACGTCTCCGGCGGGGCCCACGCTGACTGAGGGGAGCCGCCTCCCGGGCATTCCCAGCAAAGCCCTCCTGACAGAAACTTTGCTGCAGAGAAATGAGGCGGAGAAACAAAAGTGAGTGGGGAGGAGCAGGTGGGCCGCCCACCTGGCTGGGAGGTGGGACTATCAGGGAATCCAGATGTAGGTTGGAGGTGGAGATGCAGGCCTGGCCCATTTCAGCATCTCAACAGCCAGCCCTGGGCAGCTCACATCACCTGTCTGAGCTTCAGTTTCCCCAGCCGGAAAGTGGGGCTAATGGTGGTGTATTAGTCAGGATTCCCCAGAGGGGGAAAGAAAAAAATTTTTTCTATTTTAATTAAGACATGTGTTTTAAAGACTTAGTTCACGCTGGTGGGACTGACAAGTCTGAATCGGTAGAGCCAGCCAGCAGGCTGGAAACTGTCAGGCAGGAGTCAGTGCTGCAATCTTGAGAAGAATTTCTTCTTCCTTAGTTTTATTCTTAAGCTCTGCAACTGATTAGACAAGGCCCACCCACATTATTGAGATTATTCTCCTTTACTTAATGTCAGCTGACTGTAGATGTTAACCCTGACTACAGAATACCTTCACAGCAACCCCAAGATTAGTGTGTGGTTGAATAACTGGATACTGTAGCTTGATCAGGTGGACAGGTGCTATCAACACCTAGTCTGCTGTGAGAGTGAATGCATGTGCTTAGCCCGGCACTCACTTGGAGGAGTGTGTCAGTAAATGGTTGCCCTTACAGTTGTTGTGGGAATAATAATACCTGCTTATTATACATCTGGATCCTTGGGGCATTTCTAGACCAGCTTCACGGTGGTCATTACATGTATCCTTTCATTCACTTACTTCTTCATTCGTTTGTCCCATGTATTTATGGAGCCACCTGCAGTGTGCCAAGTACTGTTCTAGGGACACAGCAGTGAACAAAGGGACAAACCTCCTACTCTCCTGGGGTTTACTTTCTCATGAGGAAGACACAAATAAACCAGATAAATAAATGGTCTGCTACATGATGATAAGGGTTGTGAAGGAAAATAAAGGGGGTGAGGGGATGAGATTGAAGCCGAAGTTTTAAATAGGGTATGAGGGGAGGCCTCACTGAGGAGGTGAGCAAAGCCCTAAGAAGGTGAGGGAGGGGAACTTGCAGGTATATAGGGGAAGTGTGTTACAGACAGAGGGGACAGCCAGTGCAAAGGCCCGGAGGTAGAAACATGCCTGGTGCATTTGACCAGCAAGGAGGTGGTGTGATTGGAGGAGTGTGAGAGAGGGGAAGGGACAGGATATAGGACCAGAGGTAAAGGGGCTCCTTCCCTAGAGTCTCTGAGCCAGATAACATAAGGTCCAGGCTTTGTATAAACTCTCCCCCAGTCTAGCTGGGGCCCCTCTGTCTTAGCTGAGACACGTGCGTCACACCAAAACTCTAGGCTGCAGTGGGCTGGGCGACTATCCCAAACGACTGACCCAGAAACGGGAAAAAATGCCTCCCTGGGCACAGGAATAGTAAGTAATGGTACTGAGGGAGTCCTGGGAACCAGCATCACGCTGAAGATTTTCACAGCACCATGGAGGCAAAGACCAGCAGGAACCTTATTTTACAGATGAGGAAATTGATGCCCGGAGAGACAAAGTCACTGACTAATACAGGTCCACACAGTTAGCAAAAAGCAAGGCAGCCAAGTGCCTGAAGGTCATGTTTAAGGACCGAATAACAAGGCAGTGGTACATGTGATTACAGAGAGCAGGTGAGAGGAGTAGGAAGCTAGGGGGGCCGACTCGGGGACCCAGGCAAGGCCCATGCACGTGGGCGTGTGCAGAGCCAGTGTGAGCAGGCCCGGTCTCTCCGCAGGGGCCTTCAAGAAGTACAAATCACTTTGGCAGCCAGACTGGGGGAGGCAGAGGAAAAGATCAAAGTCCTACATTCAGGTATGTATCTGGCACACATTCCCTGGCCCCGTGCAGCTCCCCAGACCAGTCAGACCAGGAGGGGGAGTGGAAGGGGACAGTCAGTGACACTGTGAACTCAGGCTCAGGTATTTTGGAATCAGGAAGGCAAGGGGGGAGTTTGAGGAGGAAGGGGATAGTTCAGCATTACCCAGTGGGGGTCTGAACCCAGTCTCCAGAGGCCACATTGCTGTGGAGAGAGGGTTGGAGAAATAGAATTAAATCAGGAGTAACACAGTGGCTGCAGGGGCCAGACACACAACCAAGCCAGCCAGGTTAGGGAAGGCACTAAGGCAGGGTGGGGTCTGGGGCAAACTGGACCACTTGGGCCTTGGCTAAAGAAATGACCACTGTGAGCACCAGCCAGGCATGGCCATATGACCCAGTGTCACCAAGCCTTCGATTTTCTTGGAGAAATCAGAAATCTGGAATTTTATAAGAAATTTCTCATTTATTATAATATACACATATCTGTTGACTTCATTGCTCCTCTCTGTCCCCCTCACTTGCCAGTCTGGACCTTGGGGTAGGTGAGCTCATGGACAGATGGCCCCACCCAGGTCCTGAAGTGACCTAAGGGTGTGAGACAGCTTCTACCCAAGGCCATGGGACAGAAGACCCCTACTGCTTACATGGGTCCTCTAAGCTTCATAGACTCCTAGAGGGTCATCCTGTCCACCTTCCAACCAGCTTGAAGCCCCTCCATGGGCAGGAAACTCTACCTGTCACTGGTTCTAACCAAAAGAAAGGTCTTCCCTTTCCACCTTGAACCTCATCCTGCCTTCTGAGCCCTGCAGAAGGAATGGGCTCCTGGGGGAAGTGGGGGGCGCTTCACCCTGGCTCTTTAATTTTTCCCAGCGTTAAAGGCCACACAGACAGAGCTGCTGGAACTGCGGCGAAAATATGATGAGGAGGCAGCATCCAAGTAAGTGAAAACCCTGCTGAGGCATGTCTTCTCACTCTGGCCCTCCCAGACATCCCTCCTCCCTCATATCCTACCAGATATGTCTCTTCCCTCTGACCTTCTCAAATATGCCTCCTCCCTCCAACACCCCCATGCATGCCTCCACCCTCACGCCCTCTCAAATATTCCTTCCTGACTCCTCCCTCCAACTCACTGCCTGAAACACCTATTTCATTAAGCACCCAGTGCTCCCCAGCCCCGTAGGCACACAGCTGTTCACTGGTCATTTGCTGTGCCATTCATGTGCCAGACTATAAATGACATTCTGGGTCATGGCTGAGCAGGTTTGCTGGGTGGGGGCCTTCATCTTACCCCAAATTCCTAGAACTGTCTCCACCACAACTCCACAGTCCAACCCTCAGGGGCTGAGTGTCATTCACTTAAATTACTCTGGACTCAACATGGCTTTAAGACATCATTTATTTAAAAAAAAAAAAAGACATAATTTATTCCACAGACACTTATTAAACACCTACTGTTTACCCAGTGCTGTGCTGGGTCCCTAGAAGAAACGTTAGAACATGATGCTGTCCTCAGTCAAGGAGAAGAGACAGACAATAACTGATAATGTACAGAGATAAATTCATTCCTTCACAGATTACTATTGAGCACTTACTGTATGCTTGGTACTGTTCTGGGTGCCTGGTGAATGCTAAGAAAGGAAGAACCAAGAGCAGCAAGAGAGAATCACAGGGAGGGTTGGGTCCTATTATCCAGGTAGTTACAGAGGGCTTCCCTGAGGAGATGACCTTCAGAATGAGAAGGAGATAGCCACGTGGAGAATGCCGGGTCAGGTGCTCTGGGCAGGGGGGAACAGCTTGCATGAAAGAAGGCCCCAAACATACCTAAAGCACGTGCACAGCTTCTAGTCACCAAATGCTCCCCGCAGGCCTCCTGTGCCCCCCCGCAACCCCATGCTCAGCAGAGGGGCGACCGAGGTAGATACGGCCTGTCCTGGCCCCCTTAGTGCTGGGACCGTGGGGGTTGGGGGGGCAGCAAATAAACAAATGACCACCACGGGGATAGCAGAGGGAGGCCTCCTAGGAGGACACTTTGGAGCTGGCTTTTAAAGCTCAGGGTCGGGGCGCCTGGGTGGCTCGGTGTGTTAAAGCCTCTGCCTTCGGCTCAGGTCATGATCTCAGGGTCCTGGGATCGAGCCCCCGCATCAGGCTCTCTGCTCAGCAGGGAGCCTGCTTCCCCTTCTCTCTCTGCCTTTCTGTCTACTTGTGATCTCTCTCCCTCTGTCAAATAAATAAATAAAATCTTTCAAAAAAATTATTAAAAAAATAAAAATAAAAATAAATAAATAAAGTTCAGGGTCCTGTCCTGTTGAGGAAGGGCATTCCAGGTGGAAGGCACAGCAGGGACAAAGGCTGGGAGGCGTAGCTCTGTCCGCACCTGGGGGTGCGGCAGGCCATGTTGCCTGGAAGGGGTATTGTGCTGAGGCCCCCGTCCGATTTCCAGACATACTGGGTTCTTTAGTGCCCAGCCCCATTTCTCTCCAGTAGGAAGGGTAGAGGGCAGCCTCCTTAACCTCCCATTGCGGGCCTTTAGTTTCAGGCAGGGGCTGGGGTTATCGGGGTAGGCAGGGGCCCAGGGGCTGCCAGAAGCCCTTCTCAGGATCTTCTTTTTCTGTCTCAGGGCAGATGAAGTCGGCCTGATCATGACCAACTTGGAGAAAGCTAATCAGGTGAGACGATGTATGCTAACATTCATTCTGCCCAGGGTTGGGGGCTCGGGCTGGAGTGGAGGGACTGAACCCAGCTGATAGCTGTTGGTATCATTGCCGTGGGCCATGCTGAGTGCTAGGGCCAGGAGGTGCCCGGGGCCCTGAGCTCCCGGAGGGAGGAGGAAGGGATGCTGATGGGACACTCAGAAATAGGGTGACCAGGAAGTAGCAGTCGGGGGGGGGACGCCTGACCCAGACTCAAGGGTCAGAGAAGGCATCATGGAGAAAGGGCGTGATGCTGAGATCTGATGAACAAATTGAAAACGGATGCCTGGATGGCATTCCAAGCCAGGGAACAGCCTGGGCGAAGGCCAGGAGGCCACCTACAGAGAACACGGTGCCTCCCCTGGTGGCTGTACCGGAGGCCTCCCCAACAGGAGGAAGGCGGCAAAGCAGTGACTGGTGAGCCTAGAGTGCAGGCCTAGCTGGGACATGGGTCTCTCCCAAGCAGACCAAGTGAGGAACCATATTCCACAGAGCCTGTGGTGGTGACAGGGGACAAACCCCTGCTGCTTCTTTCCCTCCCTCCCCACCGCCAGGTCTCCGGCAGCCTTCTCCCTTGATCCCAGCCCCACCAGCCAAGCACTGGGCAGACCCCAAACTTCAATGGGTTCCCCATCTTCTAGTCCCAGCCCAGGTCCTTGAAAGTCTATGAGCCTCTGCGAGTCCCCGTTTACACATATGTAAATGGGGTCCCGCACCCTGCCTTCTTCTGGCCTCAGACCTGTTGCCGTCTGGTGGGCAAAGCTGGCAAGAGCCTGAATGGAGGTGAAGTGTGGCCATGGGCTCCGGTCTGGAGTCTCTACCCACACCCGGCTCCCTGCAAACCTAGCAGCCAGGGTCATGGCCAAGCAGTGTGACAGCAAGTGGGTCACACTGGTCACAAGTGGGTCATTGCTCTGGAGGAGCACACTTTTCAGCCCAGGAGCCGTTCTCTGGAGGAAGGGCATTCCGGGCAGAAGGCACTGCAGGAGCAAAGGCCCAGAGGCATGGCTGTGCTGGCATAGGGGCAGGACCCTCCCACCTGCAGAGGAAACGTAGAAGGGGATAGCATTTTCAGGGTAATTTTTTGAATACATAATCCATTTACATCGTTCAAAACACAGAAAAGTTCATACTTGGGGAAATCCCATCTCCTTCCCCAACTCGGCTTGCCAGTTCCCCTCCCTTTGGCAGTCTCTCTTGTTTCTAAGGTCTCCTTGTAGAGCTCCATCCGCAAACTCATGAATATATGGATTTTTACCCCTTTTAAAAGCAAAAACTATAACATACTGTACCCACCCTCCTGAACCTTCTTTTTTCCACGTGTGTATCTTAGAACTCGTTCCATATCTGTATAGAAACAATTTATTCGTGGCCGTTGGTATTGCCCTACAGGGCCGCACTGCCATGTAACCTGGGGGGGCTTTCTGTGAAGGGGCAGAGAGGAACTATGCCCACCCCTTGGGTCTCTGTCACAGCCGATCCTTTTTCCCGTACGTGAAAACATAGACCGTATGCGAGCGGATGGATGTGGCTGGGTTCCAGAAAAACCTGGTACACAAACCAGGCATCCGGCTGCAGTTTGCCTGCCCATGGTCTAACCAGTCCCTGACTGGTGAAGACCATGGTATTTCCAGCTGTGTACCATCATCGTCAGTCCCGCAGGGAACACCCTGGCACAGACACTATTTCAGACCTGCATGAGCCAATAAATAGGATAAATTCTGAGAAGTGGAATTACTGGGCTGAGGATCTGTGCATTTTTATCTGACAGATGTGACCAAGCTGCCCAGTTTGCCCTCCCTGCAGCCAGTGAAGAGAGGGCCTGTTCCCCTGCAGCCTCGCTAGTACCGTGTGTCACCCAACTTTTGGATCTTCGCCAGTTTAATTGGCTTGAGGAAAGAGATCTTAGAGCGGTTTGAACAGGAAACAATTTTTTTAATGTTCATCTTCTCTGAGTATAAAAGTAAAACCTCGTTATAGAAAGTATGGAGAAGAAAATAAATGTCATCATATGAGGGTTTCTTTAATCTGTGTTAAGATTATCCAAAATGTGAACAAGAGGATTCTGGAGCAGAGCAGATCAGCGTTACTATTTACATAGTACATAGTATTTACTATTATTACTATTTACATAGTAATAACCCGGCCAGTTTGCCCAGCTCTTTCCCCTGGGGGTGACAATCAGTCATTGTCCTGCACGCACCAGGTTTCTTACTGGGGACAAGGAACTCCCAGATGTGAATCCAGGTGGTTATATAGGAGAGGGAGCTCTTTGAGAGGGAGAAAACTAGCTCCCTAGAGTCATGATGGACAGAAGGGCAAGGATCCTAGGTTTTTAGCATGTGGAATGCAAATATTTCTGTCCATGGGGGAGATAAGACTCGTAACTTTCTAGTAGCTATAAACCCAGCTTTCCAACCCAGGGGTTGTGTCCATGGCCGGGGTCTCCTCCCGCTTTGAAATGTAAACACATATCTTCAGAGAGGAAAATCTGCCGTTCTCACCAGCAGATGTCAGAAACTGACTTCTGGGCTTGTCATTTAGCCCCATCCTGTTTTAGTCAGATTTGCTTGGGAAGCCCCAACTGTGCAGAAACATCAAAGTATTTCTCTATACCCGCACACCCAAAGCCTTTCCCAAAACAAAACTTACTTGAGCCATTTCTGGAACAAGGCAGGATACTAGTAAGTGAACAAATCAATTTAAAAAAATTAATTAACCAAAATTAATTAATTAATTAATAAAATGTGAACATGGATGTGTGTGGGTCTCCATATGTGTGTGGTAGGCGTGGCATCTTGATTGCCAAGATCAGCGTGAAAGTTAACTATAATTGTTATGACCTGTGTCACCAGCTGAGGATAAAAATATAGTCACAGCTTTTTTCATTAAGTTAACCAACTATTGATACCTAAAATACCTAATGAGTTGTAATTTACCAGATCACTTGCTTTGCAAAACAAATCTATGAGGTAGTTCTTTTTATCATCCCCATTTTACAAATAGGGAAACTGAGGCTGGGCAGATGAAATCCCCTTCCCAAGGTCACACAACCAGGAAATGACAAAGTACAAATTTCTCTCAAAAGCCACAAGGCTACATTGTAACATTTGGAGGCTTCCTTCCAGGCTTTTTTCTTAGAAATTTTTGAGGAGTTAAGTTCCACCATAGACCGAGTTTGGTAAGCCGGCATCCCAATTTAGATGTATTTCATAGCCCCCATTTCACAAGAGGAAAACTGAGACCCAGGGAGACGAAGTGACTTGCCCAGGGGCCTGTCACAGCTCATGGGCTGGGAAACACTCTGCAGACACTCCATCCAGGTGGCACTAGGTGGCAGGGGAGCTGGAGACAAACACCATTTCTGCCTGAGGTGTGCAGGGCGATGGCAGAAGGCCAGGGTGGGATCCAGTGTGACCCTGCTCCCCTCTTAACCACATTCGCCTCCACCCTCCTCCCCCAGCGAGCTGAGGCTGCCCAGCGAGAGGTAGAAAGTCTTCGGGAACAACTCGCCTCGGTTAACAGCTCTATCCGCCTGGCCTGCTGCTCCCCCCAAGGACCCAGTGGGGTAAGGATGGTGCGGGAGCCAGAGGGAAAGGTTGGGAAAAGCCATGTTGGGGAGTATGAATATGTGGATGACATTTTGTGGATCAGTCATATACCTCTGTGTGAAATTAGGCACATGAAAGTGTGTGGATACAGTGGGCATAGCATCTTAATGAGGTCAGTGTATAGTTAACTATAATTACTATGACTTGCTTCACCAGTTGAAGGTCAAAATACAGCCACAGCTCTTTGCAAGCTCAAGCTTCCATGTGTGATTAATAGGAAGTCCAGCATCTTCCTTTGGAGGCTCTCCTTTACCCCAAATTGTCCAAGAATGCCAGCAACTTACTCAGGCCAAAGAGGACGGTTTCCATGGCCAGATGCCTGGCAAGACTGGGTGGGAGGGTAAGTTTGAGCTCTAGAGCAGCGGTGCAGTTCTGGTAGCTGCCACCAGGTGTCGCCATTGACCACTGGTTCTCAAGTCCTACAAAACCGCAGTAGGACCACTCAACCAAGATCTGAGGTAAACAGTCCTATCAGCCAGTTGGGTCCCAAAACATGCCAGCGTGATTCCAGTGGGCTTTCCCAAACAGCCACAGGCTACAAAGCACCAGTCTTTAGTCATCAATCCTGAGGTTCCTGTGTTAAGCCAGCTTAGCGCACCTTTCTCTTTCCTCATGGTTGGGGCCGCCTGAGGTCCTGGGGTCAGAGGGATTTCAGTCAGAGTCACCCCAATCGACCCCTTTGTCCTGTGTTAAGAGTCTTCATTGCGGAGCACCTGGCTCTCAGTCGAGCACGCAACTTGATCTCACAGTCATGAGTTCAAGGCCCCACATTGGGTGTGGAGCCTACTTTAAAAAAAAAAAAAAAAAGTCGCCATTGCTCCTCTCCCAGGAACCCTTGGGTTCCTTATGTCAGCTGGTCCACCTTCTTTCCAGATCGGTGCATACCAAGGGATTCGATTCCCGATTCCTTACATGACAACAGGCCTGCTCCAGGGTGATTTGCTGCCTCCCCGCACACACCTGAAGTGGCCAGCATATGTTTCACCCCACCGGACTCCCTGAAACACTGACCACTGTGCCCGTATCGGTCTTTCTGTTTCAGTGTCGGACTGTGTCTCCCCTGACGTGTGTCACCATGAATGTGTTTATCTGTTTGTGGCCTTTGGGCAGATAACTGTATCCTTAATCTAACTGTGACTCAGTTTCCTCACCTGAAAAGTAAGACCTACCTTATAGGGCTGTTGAGAGGATTATATGTAAAGTACCTAAAATGGTTCTTGGCTTATAGTCTGAGGTGGTTTTGCCCACATCGCATGTGATGCGCACACATGACTCTGTGTGTCACGGTGACATGTCCATGTGCACACATCTCTTTGGTGCCCAGATATTTCTGTGTATCTGCGTGTCAGCACGAGTACTCCAGCAGGTACATGTATCAGGGTGTGCTGTGTGTGTGTCTGTGTCCCAGGAGGCAGTGTGTGTAGACGTCAGTGTGCCTGGATAGCAGCACAACACAACAAGCGAGAGCGAGAAAGACCAAGAGAAAGAGGGCTCCTGGGGTCGCCTTAGACGGAATTTACCGATGGTTCTTAATTAACCCCTGTGGAACCCGGTAAATGCCTGTGCTAATCAGCCACGGGGAATTTTGCTGGTTTGGGGGGTAAGTTTTTCTGAGCATCACAGTGGCGCTCGATGCTAATTAATTTAATGTGTTAATGGCATCCGCTTCCTGTTTTAATTGGCATTTATCTCCCTGGAAGAATAGCCGGTATTGGTAGTGGTAGGCTGTGTTTTCTGCTCCGTTTTGTTTTTTGTAAGGCTTCTTAGATTCATTTGCAACTGCTTAGGACAAGCCTGACTTCAGGTCCTCTCAAACATAAACTTCTTCTTCATCCAGGACAAAGGGACCATTTCCTAAAACCTGGAGAAGCCATGGGGCTTGGGGCTAGGGGCAAATTAGGAAGAGAAAGGAACCACCGCTCACATGGCCTATGGCTGTGGGGTCTCAGGTCTAATCCTGAGGGGTCTGCCTGGAATGAGTGGAAATGCCTCCCTGGGATAGGACCTGTGCCTAATTTAGAAACCTAAACCTTGATCTTGATGTTCTCTCAGCTGGGAACACCCAATCCCTACCCTTTCCTCACCAGACTACTTCCCTTTTTTTTTGTCCTTTCATAACAGAGGTTTTATTGAAATATATGTATAAGGACACATGTGCATATCCTAAGTGTACAGCATGTTGAATTTTTCAGAGATGCCATAACCAGTGTCCAGATCAGCAGGTAGAATGTCCCCAGCCCTCAGAATGTCCCCCTCGGGTCCCCATCCGGGACCTACTCCCCAAGGGAGACACTCTCCTGACTCTTAACCACACAGCTGGGTTTTGCCTGCTTTTGTATCTGGTCAGAGTCAGATCCCGCACACACGCTTTGCGGTCTGGCTCCTTTCCCTTCATATTCTGAGAGCCTGGTCTGTGCTGTGTTAGTAGTCGTGGATTATCCGTTTTCAGAGCTGTAGCGTTCTCCGTGGTGTGGGTGTGCCGCAACCCGATCCTCCCTTCTCTCACTGGAGGGCATCTGGTGGCCAGAGGAGGGTTTCCGGCTTGGGGCTATGACAGATAGGGCTGCTACAACCGTTAGCTTGGTGTTCGCATGTGTGCCTTGTGCGTGGTTCCTGCTTCCCCCCCACATATGCACCAGGCAGAAGTGCACATATCCACCCTTAGCGGACGCTGCCAAGCAGTTTTCCAAGTCACTAACTTGTTCTTGAACTTCTTCACAGTTAAGACACATCTGCCTCCAGAAAATCTTCCCTACCCACTCTCCCCCCGCACCCCAGTTTGAATACTAGAGGGAAGGCATCTGGGCTGGTAGAACTGGCCTGAGCAAAGGCTCAGAGACAGGAGGAGGAAAGCCAGAGCCTGGAAAGGCTGAGTCACTCCAGGGAGCACAGCACCAGGGGTGGGGGAGGATGCCATGGATGGATTTCCCCTTTTGTCTGGGATTCGGGGGTGGGGAAGTCAGCCCTCCGGCCCCCTGCCCCACACTTCTTAGCCCCTCAAAGCCCCACTTTTTCTTCAGGATAAGGTGAACTTCGCGCTGTGCTCGGGCCCCCGGCTTGAAGCCGCGCTGGCCTCCAAGGATCGGGAGATCCTGCGGCTGCTGAAGGACGTGCAGCACCTCCAGAACTCTCTGCAGGAACTGGAGGAGACCTCGGCCAACCAGATCGCGGACCTGGAGCGGCAACTCACGGCTAAGTCCGAGGCCATAGAAGTAGGTCTTGGGAGAGGAGGTGTGCAGACAGGAGACGGGCGGGGCGTCCCCCGGGCAGAAGGACGTGGGCCAGCCTGAATCCATCTTTGCTTTCTCCTCTAGAAGCTGGAAGAGAAGCTCCAGGCACAGTCTGACTATGAAGAAATTAAAACAGAGCTGAGGTACCATGGGGAGTGGGGCCCCCCCACCCCCAGCCCTTTTCCTGGGTGAGGAAGGGCCCTGGACATAGTTCATGATCTTCCTTCCTCCCACCACACCCCACTTGGTGATACCCCTGTCCCTCCCCCAGGGCAGCCTGGGTCTCAGAACTGAACCACACGTGGTTCTTTGCCCTCCAGAGCCACCTATCCGAGAACTTGCAAGGTGGCTCATGGCCCTTGTGGGAACTGGCAGGATGGTACTTGCACTGGATGAGCTCAGGCCCGCCCGCGGGGGTTGGTTAGGGCAGCACCCCTCCAGCTATCACTGGAGCGGGCTCACAGCCTGCTACCTGAGCCTGTGGTTGACCCGGGGGCAGTGTTCCGTGGGGCCCCTGTGGTGGGGCCGTTGTTCTCAGTCAGGGAAGAGGAGCTAGAGGAAGTACCTCTCAGACCTCCCCCTCAAGCGCCACGAACCTGACTGGTCTTGGACTCTCTGCGCTTTCTCTGGCAGCATCCTGAAAGCCATGAAGTTGGCCTCCAGCTCCTGCAGCCTCCCGCAGGTGAGCTTTTCGCCACTGTCCCTGCAGTGCAGGCTGCCCTCGGGCCTTCTGCCACCCTCGCCCTCTCAGCCCAGCCTCTTGTCTCCTCAGGGCATGGCCAAGCCCGAAGACTCATTGCTCATGGCAAAGGAGGCCTTCTTCCCCACGCAGAAATTCCTTCTGGAAAAGCCCGGTCTTCTGGCCAGCCCTGGTAGGGGAGACGGGATGCTCTTGGGGCCAAGGGACTATGATAGGGGCTGCCCGTGGGCCTCTGGCCTTCTCTAAGCCCACACACCACTGCCTCCTGTGTGGGCAGGAGAGGGATGGAGGAAAGGGGTGCACATTGAATGGGCGGCTGTGTGGTGGTGCTGAGCTGCGGGTTCCCCCAGGTGAAGCCAGCTGGCAGCGCCCCCCCACCCCGAGTGTCCACACACACCTACCCCACACAGCTCACTCAGGCCCTCCCAAGAACCCTCCACAAAGGCTTCATTCATCCCCAAGTCTCGATGAGCAGCGGGAAGAAGTCACAGGGCATGAGGAGGGCATTCCCATTGTAACCCCCGCAGACATTGCTCTCTACCCAAATCACCTTCGCTGCTCAGGCCTTCTCCCCACACAGTGGCTCCATGACCTTACAGCTCTGTGGCCCCGGCCAAGACTCTCTGTGCTGCCTCTGTTTCCTCATCTGTGAAATGGGGGCAATAACAGATCTACTCCGTGGGTGCTATTCACCTGGGTAATGTAAGCACGTAGGACGTGTAGGAAGAGGAGGGCTGCAAGGTGGGCGGGGGCCAGGAGTGCACATCCTGCCTCAGTGGGCATTGGTCCCAACGCACCACCCAGGGGCCAGGGGCTGGCCCGGAACAAGTGCTCAGTGCATGTTAATGTAGGAGGGAAGGGTCCCCCAGGACTGGCATGTGGGCCAGGCCTGCACAGATGGGGATTTGAGGGTCAGAAAAGGAGCTCTTAGTACTGCTGGATGCCCAAAGCACTTCTCTCCCCTTCCCCACCTGCCCTCTCCTCCCCTCTCCTCTCCCTGAATTGCTCTCTCATGTATGTGTCTCTCTACCTCCCACTTTCTGTCTCTTTGTTCCTCTGTCTCTTTCTGCCTCTCATTCTGTCTCTGCCTCTGTCTGTGTCTCCCTGGTTTCTTGTTTGCCTGGTGTATGCCTGGTTTCTTGTTTCTCTCTGCCTCTCTGTCTCCCTGTGTCCGTTTCTCTGGTATCTTTCTCACTCTCTGTCACTCTCAATATTTCTCTCCCTGTCTCTCTCTCTATCTCTCCTTTCTTCCTCCATCTGTCTGTCTCTTGACATTATAGAAGAGGACCCTTCGGAGGACGATTCCATCAAGGACTCTCTGGGCACGGAGCAGTCCTACCCATCCCCTCCGCAGCTCCCGCCACCACCAGGGCCCGAAGACCCCCTATCCCCCAGCCCTGGGCAGCCCCTGCTGGGTCCTGGCCTGGGCCCCGATGGCCCAAGGACTTTCTCACTGTCCCCCTTCCCCAGCTTGGCCTCTGGGGACAGACTAGCAGGGGACACACTGCTGTCCAAGCACATGATGCCCCCGGCCACCTTCAAGGGGGAGGCAGGCGGCCTGCTGGTGTTCCCCCCGGCCTTCTACGGTGCCAAGCCCCCCACGGCTCCTGCCACCCCTGCTCCTGGCCCCGAGCCACCTGGGGCCCCCGAGCCAGTGGACGGGGTTGGGAGCAGCGCAGCCGGGGCAGGGGCCGGAGCCGAGGAGGAGCAGCTGGACACGGCGGAGATCGCATTCCAGGTGAAGGAGCAGCTGCTCAAACACAACATCGGGCAGCGAGTGTTCGGCCACTATGTGCTGGGGCTGTCACAGGGCTCGGTCAGCGAGATCCTGGCCCGGCCCAAGCCCTGGCGCAAGCTCACGGTGAAGGGCAAGGAGCCCTTCATCAAGATGAAGCAGTTCCTGTCAGATGAGCAGAACGTGCTGGCTCTGAGGACCATCCAGGTGCGGCAGCGAGGTGAGGGCCTGTCCCAGGGCACAGGGGCCGAGGGCACAGGCTCCGGGCTCAGAGCCGGACTCTGCCACCTCTCAGCTGTGTCACCCGGGGCAAGTGACTTTACCACTCTGTGCCTCAGTTTCGCCTTCTATAGAACAAGGAAATATATCCCCTCTCCCTTCTTCCTGGGGCCTGTGGCTACCCCTTGCTCCCAACTTGGCCCTAGTGGGACAACTCAGGCTGATCATGGTGGGAGAAGGCTGGGCCAGGGGCTGCCCTGGCAGGTAGGAACTTCCTGAGGACCTCCAAGCAGGTAGGAACTTCCTGAGGACCTCCAAGCCTCAGCTCACCCATCCGTGAAATGGTCTGGTTCCTTCCAATCTTGCCAGACTTGACTTTTAGGGTATCCTATGTGAATGGCCCAAGGTTTGACCTCCCAAACACACCTGAGTTTGAGTTCCAGCTCTGCCATTCACGCACTAGGTGACCTGGGACAGCTGACTTTAGTTTCTGTGCCTCAGTTTCCCCATCCATCCCCATCTGTCAGGCACCTCTGAGGGTTAAATGAGTAGAAATCATTCAGCACGCCCCCAAAACCTAGTACCTGCTTGAGAACTGTTAGCTGTGGTGGCCATCGTTGTTGTCACCATTATGATTGATATTATTATTATTAGTTCAAGCCAAAATCATTTGTAGATTCAGCCTGTCACACAGACTGGCTAAGTAGTGGTCTTGCCACCGAGGTCTGGCCCTCCCTTTCCCAGCCCTGGCCCTGGAGCCCCTGAGGGAGGAAGGGACCCACCCTTCACCCTGCCCAGCTCAAGGGACTGACCCACAGCAGGCAGGTCTCCACAACAGATGCCCCCTTGCCTCCCCCAGGCAGTATCACCCCAAGAATCCGCACACCCGAGACAGGCTCGGATGACGCCATCAAGAGCATCCTGGAACAGGCCAAGAAGGAGATCGAGTCCCAGAAGGGGGGTGAGTGTCACTGCCCCAGGCGAGGCCTGAGGCCTCCAGGACCTGCCCTGAGCAGGAGGTGAGCCCTTGCCCGCCTTCATCCACCACAGCCGGGATTCCAAGCAGGTCAGAACCTCTTCACCAACCAGCCTGCAGCCATGTGAGGCCTGGAAGGCACCGGGTCCCTGTTAGTGTGGGAGCCACTAGCCATGTGTGACTATTTCCACTCAAATTACTGGAAATTAACTAAAATTACAGCTTCAGTTTTCTGCACAGTGACGAGTGGCAGCTGTATGGGACAGCCCAGCTACTGCCACCACCCCAGTCTGGATTGTCCCGGTGGCTTCGACTTTGAAGAGACATGGTGATCCGTAATCCCACAGGAACTCTGTCAAAAGTCACAGGTCCGCAGTCAGCCTCACGGGGCAGCAGGGCCGCGTTCCTTCTGGAGGCTCCAGGGGAGAATCCATTTCCTTACCGTTTCCAGCTTCTAGAGGCGCCCACAGTCCTTCCCCTGTGGCCCCTCCTGCATCCTCAAGGCCAGCAGCATAGCAATTTCCGCTCTGCCTCTGATCTTCCTGTTTCCCTCTCACAAGCACCCCTGTGATGATGTGTGGCCAGCCCATGTAGCCCAGGATCGTCTCCCATCTCAAGATCCTTAACTTGATCCATCTGCAGAATCCTCTTTGTCATGTGAAGTAGCATAGTTTGGGCCCAGGGATAGGGATACCATTGGGACCCCATTATTCAGCCAAACAGAGTGTACTTTCTCCAGCAGCCCCTCAAACACAGGATCCCCCAGGGCTCCCCCCACCAGGCCCTCTGACTTTCCTACCGTTCCTAGATGAGTTAGTCCATTCCTGGAAGTTCCACCAACACCCAAAACACCCCCTCTCCAGGCCACACCTCTCAAGAGTTCCAGAGCCCTACACCAACTGCTAGCTGGACATATCCACCAGGGTCCCCCAATGGCATCTCAGACTCAGCGTATCTGAGATGGAACTTACTGTCTTCCCTTACCCCTCACTCACTCCCCATAACCACCAGCTCAAGTCTGGGAACCTGTCACAGATGGTGCCTGGCACCCAGGTGGGGTGAGCGGCTCTCCTTGACTGCCATCATCTTCACTTGCTGGAACTGTCTCACTAGCCTCTTCACTGGTCTTACCAATGATATTCTAGGTCCCAGTGTAGCCCATTCTCCACAGAGGCCAGAGGGATCTTTCTAGAGCAGACAAATGGTCATGTCACTACTCCCCTTCCACAGCTCCCCATTCCCCTAAGATAAAAACGCCAACTCCTCAACAAGGCCCCAGACCCTAAGGTCTTGACTTTTCCTGACTCCCTATACCTCTCGAACGAACTGCTTATAGCCACGTCCACTCTCATGCTGTTCCCTGTGCCCCTAATGCCATCCTCACCCCTGGCCAACTCCTGCTCATTCTCAACAGTTCAACTCAGAAGTCGCCTCGTCTAGGAAACCCCCCACCCCCATCCAGATGGATTGGATACTGACCCTCCTTGGATTCCCCGTAATCACCTACATTTCTTGATGCAATGCAGCCAGAGTGGCCGGGCTGCAAATTTTGCCTCTTCTGTTTATTAGCCGTGTGACCTTGGGCAAGTTTCTTAGCCTCTCTGTGCCTCGATTTTCTCATATTTAAAATGGGCACAATATCAGTACTCCTTTCTTAAGGTTGTATAAGGTCAAATGAAATCAGTCCTGACAAGCACTCAGCCTGGAGGCCTGGCATGTAGAAGGTGCCCCTGAAAATGTAGCTATCATTACAGGTAATGTTACATTTTTCTATCTGTTGTTACATTTGTTCAAGTTACAAATACTTCTGCTGATACGTCTGTCCCTCCTACCCATCTGTCAGAGGGCTTTTTGCCGCAAGGGGCGGAGTGGCCTCCCTCCTGCTCCCAGCACTGCTGCTGACTTTGAACCTGATGCTGGCTTTCACGTTCCCACTTTGTGGTGTCTGCTGCCCCTTGGTGGCAAATCGCGGAGCAAACTGTCCCGATTCCCCAGCGTCTGAATGTGGCTGGGAGCCAAGTGTTCAGCAAGGGCCCGTCCTCCTGCCAGGTCCCTGGGAGGGACGGAGGAGCCCGCCCCAGGACCCTACACTGCCCCACCCAAATAATCCTCTGAGGCCCTGCTGTGTACAGCTGATTTCTTTATTGAGCTCCTGTGCAGGAGAGGCAGTCATTCCATAAACATTGGCTAAGCATCTCCTGCATACTGGACATGAGGTACAGCTGCGGACAAGACACAGTACTGGAGTGTAAAGAACCATGAGAAACAGATTCATCAAACTCTCCCACTAAATAAACGGGACAGCTGAGAGCAGAGAGGGGGAGACATGCTCGCAGTTGCACAGAGACCAAGGGAGAACCCAGGTCTCCTGACTCCCTGTACAGTACGCTCCCACAGGCGGGGGTGGGGGGTGTCAGAAAGAAGACAGCAGAGAAATCAAAAAGGCAATATCAGGGGGCGCCTGGGTAGCTCAATTGGTTAAGCGTCCGGCTCTTGATTTGGGGCTCAGCTCATGATCTCTGAGTAGTGAGATGGAGCCTGCTTAAGATTCTCTCTCCCCCTGCCCCTCCCCGCCCATGCACAGTCTCTGTCTCTAAAAACTAGTAATAATAAGACAAAAATATCGGGCAACATCACAGCAGAGTGGGCCAGCCAGGGGGGTTTCCATTCAGGGTCTCTGAAGAGGTAGCAAGAGACAGAAACGTCCGGGTGATTGCTCCACACCCCTGACAAGAGTGGATGCTACGCAGAGAGCACGGAGCAGCCCCCAGGGAGGACAAGAGCATGCTGACTGCTAACTCGAGAGCTCCACTCTCGGAATTGAAGAAAAACTACCCAGGATGGGGGCAGAGATTTATATACAAGCTGTTCCTTTATCAGGGTTCACAACAGTGACCAACTAGAAACAGCATGAGTGTCCCGCAGTGGGGGATCAGGTAAACACAGCAGAGAATATCCCTTCAAGTGGCAGAGGCAGCCGTGAGAGGTAGAACTTTGAGTCATGAGAAAACATGCTCATGTTGATACTAAGTGGGGATGCGCCAGGCTGCGATCCCACATCAAGCGTGATCTCCCCGTGTGCGAGATTAGAAAGCAGAGCAGAAGGCAATACGTGAGGCTATTCCGTGTGATTGCCTTTGGCAGAGAGATTAACTTCATTTAACCACTTCGCTGCAGTATCTTCACAGTATCTCCAAAGCATGCTTTGACTGATGCTGTGAACACCTTTGCCCGTCAAGCCATGCCCTGACCGTGGGCCTCTGACCACCCTGTGTCATCCTTCCGACAGGTGAGCCCAAGAACGCGACAGCCCCACTCAGCATCACCAACGGCACAGCCCCCGCCAGCACGTCAGAAGATGCCATCAAGAACATTCTGGAGCAAGCACGCCGCGAGATGCAGGCACAACAGCAGGCACTGCTGGAGATGGAGGCCGGGCCCCGGGGCCGCTCCGTCCCTCCCTCGCCCCCAGAGCGGCCCTCACTGGCTGCTGTGAGCCAGAATGGGGCCCCGACCTACGTCAAGCAGGAGGACAGCAGTGGCGGTGGTGGCGGGGGAACCAGCAGTAGTGCCACACAGACGTCCCTCACAGTCCTGTCCCCCGCGGCCTTCGTCCAGAGCATCATCCGGAAAGTCAAGTCGGAGATCGGAGACGCCGGCTACTTTGACCACCACTGGGCCTCGGACCGTGGCCTGCTCAGCCGCCCCTATGCCTCCGTCTCGCCCTCCCTGTCCTCCTCCTCCTCCAGCTACTCTGGACAGCCCAACGGGAGGGCCTGGCCCCGTGGGGATGAGGCCCCCGCAGCCCCTGAAGACGAGTCGGCGGGGGGCGAGGAGGAGCCCCCCAGGGTGGGCGAGCTGAAGTCTGAAGGGGGCGTCCCCGAGGCAGGCAGCGGTGGGCGGCTGGCCTACTACCCCACGTACGTGCCCCGCACGCTGAAGCCCACCGTGCCACCCCTGACCCCCGAGCAGTACGAGCTTTACATGTACCGGGAGGTGGACACCCTGGAGCTGACGCGCCAGGTCAAGGAGAAGCTAGCCAAGAACGGAATCTGCCAGAGGATCTTTGGGGAGAAGGTGAAGACAGTGGGGCCCACCCCCAAGGAGCTCAGGGGGCCATGGGGCCCATGGGACCTGGGGAGGGAGGACTGCCTGAGGACCCAGCCCCCAGCGCTTGTGGTCTGGAAAGAGAGGTTGTGTGTATGAACAGGAGCAAGGCAAAAGCAGGATTCGAACCCAGGTCTGCCTGACCCAGACCCTTTTTCCTGCATCCACCTGTCTCTGGGTCCTGTGGGAAGAGAGCCATAGGCAGGACTGACATTCAGTCCTGTGGTTGTTCAAGCAGTGAAATGTTTCTGTCTGGTTAGGAATAGCTACTTACCTCCCGTCCTCCAGAACCCTCCATCCCTCCCAATGATCTGCCCACTAAAGGGTTAAGGCTCAGCCCAGCAAAGGGTGCCCTGCAGTGCCAGTGATTAAGTAGTTTTTTTTTTTTTTTAAGATTTTATTTATTTATTTATTTATTTATTTGACAGAGAGAGATCACAGTAGGCAGAGAGGCAGGCAGAGAGAGAGAGGAGGAAGCAGGCTCCCCGCTGAGCAGGGAGCCCGATGCGGGGCTTGATCCCAGGACCCTGGGATCATGACCTGAGCCGAAGGCAGAGGCTTAACCCACTGAGCCACCCAGGCACCCCGGTTAAGTAGTTTTTAACAGCGCCTCTGCCCACAGCAGAGGAGCAGGAAAAGGGTCAGGTGAGCCAAGAGATAGGAGTGACCTAAGTGGAAGCACAGGAGGACTCCCTGGAGGAGGAGGCTTTTGAGGGCTCTTAAAGTCAGGAAGGATTCTTACATGCAGGGATATCTGGAAGGGCACTGCTGATGGGGGGCGTGGCCCAGGCACACCGCAGGCACCTGGGATATGAAGAACAATCAAGGCAGCCCTGGTCTCCCAGAGAATCAGAGTGAACAGTGGTCTCTACAGAGGGAGGGAGGGGAGGCCCGGGGATGGCCCAGGAGCCTGCCTCCCTACCCTTCCTGCCCCACCCATCCCCAGGTGCTGGGCCTGTCCCAGGGCAGCGTGAGCGACATGCTGTCCCGGCCGAAGCCCTGGAGCAAGCTGACGCAGAAGGGGCGAGAGCCCTTCATCCGCATGCAGCTGTGGCTCTCGGACCAGCTCGGCCAGGCCGTCAGCCAGCAGCCCAGCGCCTCCCAGGGTGAGTGTGGTCGGGGCCCTCTCGCAGGATGCTGCCTGCCCCCCAGAACTGCCATTCCCAGCGGCCATTACTTCTCTCTGGAAGACAGCAGGGCCATCCTTCCTCCAACCAGAGGAATGCCCTCTGTTGGTGGTTTAGACTCTATGCCTAGAGCAAGTGGAGGGAATACTTAGCATGTGGAGCCGGGGCCGCGCCCTCCCATCCCCTGACCAGAATCACTGATTGATCTCTTTTTCCCATCGAGGCAACACGCAGCCTCAGAAGACTTAGCACAGAGATTTGGGCTGTTACCCGTCCATTAGTGAAGCACAGGCAGGGTGGGGTCTGAACGTTGCCCAGGTGAGGAAACTGAGGCTCGGAGAGTTGCCCAACGTCACAGACATAGATGGCAGCATGGAGTCTGGGGAGGGACTCTAGGAAGCCCACGCTCCCTCCCTTGCAGCGCCCAGTGGGCAAGTCAGTTGGAGTCGGATGAAGTGCAGGGATCAACAAGAAACATGATGTCAGACAACAAAGCATCCCAGGCGATGGTGTTTATAGCAGAAGTTCATGGCCAGAAGATAAGACAGCACACTGTTGCCGCATTGGCTACAAGCCTGTGCATTAAAATGTCAAAAAGAGGGACACCTGACTGCTTCCATCGGTAGAGCGTGTGACTCTTGATCTCAGGGTCATGAGTTCAAGCCCCATGTTGGGCATAGAGCTTACTGGAGGGAAAAAAAAAAGTCAAAAAGAGCCACCACTCTCCAGCCTGGGAAGAGGGGTTCCGTGGGGGAGGAGAGGGCTCTGGCTGTCTCTGTGGCTTTTTGTCTTTAAAAGAAACACGGAGATTTGAAGCAAATAAGGGCGTATTAACATCTATTAAGGGCATGGACCCGGGGAAGGGAAGGGGGATTGATGTTTTCTTTTCAGCATATTTCTATACTTTGAAATATTTTATATTTATAATTTTTGATTGAAAAACCCTGCTCCATGAGGCAGTTGTGAGACTGATGCTGCCGTTCTAATGACAGCTGTCGTTGGTCACACCCAAGTCTGGGCACTTGCAGTAGCTTCTTTAATCCTCACATCAGTCTTCACTGGAGGAATTATTTGTCAGTCCCACCTTCCAGAAGAAGAAACGGACGGTCTGAGTAGTACAAGGATGTGCCCAAGGTCACTGGCCAGTTAGTGGCAGAGCAAGGATCAGAACGCAAGGCTTTCAGCCATTAGGGTCCCTAGGAGTGCCTACCCCAGAGCCCATAGCTGTGAAAGAGTTCTCATCCCTGTGTCATGTTGTGTTGTAAAACTCATATCACGTAAAATTTACCATTTGAACCACTTCAAAAGTGTACAATTTAGTGGCATGTAGTGCATTCAAAAATTTGTGCAACCCCCAGCTCTCCAGCACCCCAGGACATTCTTAGCTCCCCAAAAGGAACCCTGTGTGCATTAATCAGTCGTGCCCACCCAGCCCTCCCCCAGGCTCAGGAACCACCAGCCTGCTTCCTGTCAGTGTGGATTTGCCTCTGCTGGCCATTCAGGTCAATGGAATCGTACGCTGTGCAGCCTTTTGTGTCTGGCTTCTTTCACCGAACATCATGTTCTCCAAGCTCATCCCTGTTGTAACCTGTCTCAGTACTTCCTGTTTGTGGCCGAATAATATGTCCATGTGTGGCTAGGCCGCTTTTGGCTACTGTGAATAATGCTGCTGTGAACTTCACGTACCTGTTTTGAATACCTGTTTTTGATTCCTTTGGATACATACCTCAGAGTGGAATTTCTAGGTCGCGTGATAATTCTGTAACTTACTGAGGACCTTCCAAACTGTGACCCATAGTGACCGCAAACGCACCATTTTACACCCCAGGCAGCAGTGGGGGGGGAGGAGGTCCTATTTCTTTCCATCCTCGCCAGCACCTGCCATTCTCCGTGTTTGACTGAAGCCGTCCCTGTAGGTGTGAGTGGGCATCTCGTTGCAGTTCTGGTTTGCATTTGCCCAGTGTCAGATTGTTTGGGTTTTTCAAAATGTCTTTGTTGTGTAAGGATAGGGTAAGGCTAAGATAGTCAAGAGTGGTGTTCCTGGTGGAAGAAACAGCACAAGCAAAGGCTAGGAAAAAGGATCCTTCACAGATTAGGAAAGGAGTGAGGTCCAGTGAGCATGGACACCTTGTCCCCTCCCCCCTCCCCCCTCCCCCCTCCCCCACAGACCAGGAAGCCAGGGCCCATGTTCATGGAGGCAGAGATGTGAGCAGTGGCTGCTGGCTCGGTGGGGGGTGGCTGATCCAGCCAAGGCCCCCACAGCCACCAGCTGTCCACAGCCTAAAGGCAGGAGAGGATCCATTGCCCACAAGGTCCCGCATAGTCTGGCCATGGGGTTGGGTATGGACCTGTTCCAGCCCCCATACCATCCATGGCCCAGGGAGTTGGGGGTGAGCCTGATACCAGGGGAGGCTTCCAAAGTATGGCCTCCCCAACACCAGCTGCCCGCCAGCAGAGCCTGGTTCAGTGATGGGCTCTTCAGCACTGCCCACCGTGGTCAACATGGGCACTACAGCCACTTGTGTCAGAGGCTTGCTTCTCAGAATTCTCTAGCTCCCCTAGAGTGGTCTCTGACTCCCCGACCCCCGCCCACCTGAGTCTCTCCCACCATCATTGTTGTTTCTCTCCCCCTCCCTTGTCTTTCTCACTGCCTTTCTCATGTGTCTCTTTGTCCCAGTCTCTCCCCACCCCAGCCCCTTCTTTCCCTGTTCCTCTCTCCCACTCTGTGCCTGTCCCTACCCCATGTCCCCCTGTCACTCCATCTCTCTCCTTCCATCTCTCCCTCACTGTCTCTCTCCATCACGACCACTGTCCTGTTTGCCCAGGACACGGGACTTTCTATACTACAACCAGCACAGTCCTGGGCAAACAGGTGTTACCCTGCTCTCCCAGCTGTGCCCCGCCAACATCCCTGTCCAACACCCTTGCTCAAGCCCCAGCCCGCCTGACTATTCATGTTCAACCCCTGGCCCCTTATGATTAGTGTGTCCCTCCTGATAGAGTTGATTTCTGAATCTTTCAATAATTTTATTAGAAGTGGTCCTTGGAATCTGAGTAGTCAGAAAAGGCTGACGTTCTGCCTGGAGGCTGGCTGATTTCGGGCTTATCATCGGGGTCTCCCTCCATCGCTTCATCCCGCTCCCTCTCTAGTTGGAAATCTGGCCCTTTAGGAGGGGGTGCAGGTGTTCCAAGAGGCAGATGCCTTTGGAGACCCCCGATTCTCCTCCAGCTGAGCCCAGCTCCTCTCCTATACCCGTGATGGATGGACTCTTGAAACAGCCTCTTGCTTTCCCAGGCTGGCCCTTCCCCACCAGCTCTGTATCTCTGCTGGTGACAGTGGCGGGGGGGGGGGGGGCACATCATCTCCAGCATCACACAAAGGCCACCTGGATGACCAGAATCAGTCCGATTCGGAGCCGGGGAACAGCAGTGTCTTCATGATGCCCAGTGTGGGCTGCCAGCTCCATGGGGCTGCGATGCCACTGCTCAGAACTTTGAGGGTTCACCTTGCACCTTGCGAGGGTACACAGGGGTCCTGTTTCAAAATTTATTTATTTTATTTATTCACTCAGCAGACCTGCCCAGTGCCTCCTTCCTCCCCACCCTCTAAAACTCACCCATGACTAATGTGTGTTCCCAGCCTGCCAGGGACTTATAGTGGACGAGAAGACAGTGTCAGATATAAGCATATCTCAGCTTGCCACTAGTCCCTGTGTGACCTTGGACGCATTGCCTAAAAGCCCTGAGCCTCAGTTTCCTCCTCTACAAAATCTCCTCCTCTACAAAATGGCGTGACATGGTAGCAACCTCCTAGAGATGCTATGAAGGTCACTTGAGATCACATAGCATTATGCAGGGCATGTGATAAGTACCCAATAAAAGGAAGTTTTACTAATTATTATCATCATCATTGCTGTCATCAGGTAGGGGTGAGGTCTGGCACAAGAAGGAAATTACAGTGAAGTGTAACAATGCAGTCAAGGTGTACCTCAGAGAAGGGACTGGGTCTTGAAGGATGCATAGGAGGTCAATGCTAGGGAGAAGACCTTCAGGATGGCAAAGTCATAGGGGCATAGAAGAGCCTAGGAGGTTTGGGGCGGGCGGTGGTGGGTGGGTGATTGGGGCTGTGAGAGTAGCTCCAGGTCTGTGTGGTTGGTCCCTCCAAGAGAGCCCAGAGCCTTAAACTCTAGAACAGGGAGAACTCGTTTCTCGTGCAAAGGTCAATAAGGAGTCGTTTCAGATCTGGAACACGGTAATTCACCTGCTCTCCACAGGGAAGGAAGAACCCATCCAGAGCAGAGGCTCCGAATATTCTTTCTAGAATCAAAGCCACTGCAGGATGGTTGTGGGATACTTTTCACTTTCTAGGCATCATACATTTTTATACTTAGTGAATTTCTGGATGGCAGCAGCCAAATGTCTTGAAGAAGAGGTACCTCTTTCTAATTTGCTGGAAGGTGTCATGTGGACCAGCACTGGGATTCCTTGAACCTCCACCTTGGTCCCCACCCCTATAAGGGCATCAGCTCAGGCCCCTCCCCTACCTCCCGGGATAGATGGGAGGCTCAGTTCATGCCCGAAAGCCCAGTGGGTGACTGACTGCTCAGGCGGTGGCCTCTTGATGGCCCCGAGGAGGGCTGCTGTAGGCATAGTGCCACGTGCTCTGTGCCACGTGCCACGTGCTCTGTGGTGCCATGTAACAGATTCAGGGGCTGGGGGTTTGGCAAGGTCATCCCACCCAACGAGTCTACCAAATGGCTTTTGCCAAATGAAAACTGTGGCTTATGAACTCAGTTTTTAAATATGCCAGTGTACCATGCACATCTTTTTCTTTTTTCAGCTTTATTAAGATACATTTGACATAGTAACATTGTATAAGTTTAAAGTATACAATGTGATGGTTTTTTGTGTTTTTTTTTAAGATTTTATTTATTTATTTGACAGAGAGAGAGACAGCAAGAGAGGGAACACGAACAGGGGGAGTGGGAGATGGAGAAGCAGGCTTCCTGAGGAGCAGGGAGCCTGTTATGGGACTCGATCCCAGAACTCTGGGATCATGACCTGAGCTGAAGGCAGACGCTTAATGACTGAGCCACCCAGGCGCCCATAAAATGTGATGGTTTAATAGGCATATATATTGCAAATAAGACTACCTAACACATTCTTCACCTCACATAATTACCATTTTGTTGTTATGTCGGGAAAAGTGAAGTTCTCCTATAGCCGAGTGTCAAGTATATAATGCCGAATTGATCCCCACAGTCACCACACTGCACATTAGATCCCCAGAACGGACTCTTCCTCTGTGGACAGCTTTTCATTACATCCTATTTCATTGCTTCTGGGAATCACCATATTTTATTCCATTAATCTCTGTCGGTTGGGTTTATAAAAAGGGTTCCCAACTTACTTTTTGGAACTTTTCATTTTTGAAGTAATTTCTAATTAATTGAAAAGTTGAAACAATAGGATCACAGACTCCCTGTACCCCGCACACAGACTCACCAGTTGCTAATTTTGCCACGTTTGTGCCCTTTCACTCCTGACCATTGGAGAGGTTAGTTCACTTCGTGTCGCTTTATCCCTAAATACTTCAACAAAGCATTGCCCGAGAACAAGAAAGCTGACAATGGTACGATACCATTAATGTAGCCCACTATCTATGTTCAGGTTTCTTTGGTTGTCCCAATAACAACCTTTATATCATTTTTTTAAGTAAACTCTGTGCCCAACTTAGGGCTTGAACTCACAACCCGCAGATCAAGAGTCACATGCTCCACAGACTGAGCCGGCCAGGCACCCGCCCCATCCTTTATATAATTTTGTTTCTCCCTGTCCAGGATCAGATTCAGGAACCCTTGTATTTTGTAGTCGTGTCTCTCTAGTCTCCCAATTTGAACAGTCTTCTGCCTCTGTTTGTTTTCCAGTTTTGACATTTCTGAATTATTCTACAGACTGTCTCAGTCCGGCTTTGTCGGCTGCCTCCGTGTGATTAGGTTCAGGCCACATTCAGAGCAGGACTGTCACAGAGGTGACACTGTGTCCTTCTCACTCCATTGCATCAGGAGGCACCAACTGTTGATTTGTCCTTCGATTGGTGATGTTACCTTTGGTCCTTTGGTTAAGGGGATGTCTGCCAAGTAGCTGTGCTGGAGAGTTACTATCTTTCCCTTTGTAATTAATAAATATCTTATAGGGAGATACTTTGAGACCATGTAAATACCCTACTCTTCATCAACCTCTCGTCTGCTAGTTTTGCATCCAGGATGGTTGCCCACATTGGCTCCAGCACACAAACACCCAAACCCTGTGTGTCTGTTCCAAATGGCAGCAACTGCCTTCTCTGTCTCTCTGTGGCCCACAGCCAGTCCCACGGAACCGAGGTCCTCGCCATCGCCACCCCCTAGCCCCACAGAGCCAGAGAGGAGCTCCCAGGAGCCCTTGATCCTGGCACTGGAGGGCAGCAAGGAGAACCAGCAGCCGGAGGGACGCTCCAGCTCCTCACTGGGCGGGAAGATGTACTCGGGCAGCCAGACCACGGGGGGCATCCAGGAGATTGTGGCCATGTCCCCCGAGCTGGACACATACTCCATCACCAAGAGAGTCAAAGAAGTCCTCACGGACAACAACCTAGGTACGGGGTGGTTGGAATCAGGGATTCTGCCCTCCTCCCCGGGTTGGCTCTTAGTTGCCTTGAGCTGAGTGCCCACAATGAGATCCTGGGGTCCGAGGTCCAGCTGCAGGAGCCCATCAGCCCACGGGTATCCAGGATCCTCCAGAAGGCATCCGACTCTGACCCTAGAGTAGGACAGAGGGGGGTGAGTACAGGTCTGATGTGACCTGAAATCCTCAGCCCGTAGTGACAGTGACACTCTAGCACAATCCTGACCCAGTGCCCAGCCCCCTAGCCTCAGGGGACACAGGAGAACCCTGTTCTAGGACTCTTTCACTCTATGGATCACGAACTCCTCTGAGTCTCCACTGCGGGTCGTGCCCCTGTCCCAGAGAGATGCACACAAAACCCAGATTCTTCACTACAATTTCTATTAGAAAATTAAGACATGTTCTTTATTTTAAAATACCAAACAGTGCAGGAAAAAAAAAAAGACTAAAAAGTAAGTAAAACTCCCCAAGCCCCCAATCATACTCCATAATTTTTATATATATTTGATTCTTTCTGAAAACATGCAAGAATATATGTATACCTGATTTTTTACATATTTTCTGTGTAGATGAATTTCCATGCATACTGTCCTATAACCTGCTTTTTAAAAGTGAACCCTGTTTTGTGGACACCCTTCCACATTAGAATGACCAGAAAGCCTTCTTCCCTGTGGCCAAGTGTTGCAGGCCAGGGATGCCCCACATTTCTGACACATTTGATGGGCATTTGCTTATTTCCAGTTTCCTTCTGCCTCTGAAACCACGTCAGTATGTGTCTTTGTGCCTTGAGCAAATACAACTGGAGGGAATTGCAGGGTCAGAGAATATGCACATTGAAAATTTTGATGCCATCTGTCAGATTACTTTCTAAGGTGACACTAATTTGTACACACGAAGTTTTCTGACCTATTCGGGGATCTCCTAGGAGTAAAGTTTCCTTCACTGAATTATGAAAGCATTTTTGTTGGGAACTGTCAGGTCCCTTACCCCCAACCTCCTATTTTGCAGAAAAGTTCCCTCCAAACTCCTACTGGGTGTGGGTCCTTCTGAGTTCATGGAGATGTCCCGGGTTCTCCTCTATTTCTTGTCTCTCCTGGGCACACTGGGCCTAGCCTGGGATAACAGGTTGCCCTCCCCTGTCCCTAGGGCAGCGGCTGTTCGGGGAGAGCATCCTGGGGCTGACACAGGGCTCCGTGTCTGACCTGCTGTCCCGCCCCAAACCCTGGCACAAGCTGAGCCTGAAGGGACGGGAGCCCTTTGTACGCATGCAGCTGTGGCTCAATGACCCCCAGAATGTGGAGAAGCTGAGGGACATGAAGAAGCTGGAGAAGAAAGGTGAGCGCTGGGTACTCTGGGCATGGCTTCAGGTTTTTGCTTTGGAACCATATGTAGTTGTAACCCAAGGAAAGCCAGGGCTCCAAGGATCCCATCTCAGCCGAATGTGGGCCTGCAAAACACAGCCATCCCCCAGCACATAATTGAAAGCAACCAAACCATTTACTGTTTCTCCCATGAACCCCAATACCCCACCTCTCTCAGCATCCTTCCTTACACCCGTAGCTGCTTCGAGGTCTTTTGTCATCCCCAACCGTGTATTCCCCAGAATGCTCTCTGTCCAATTCCCCTTGGCCTGTCACCCAGACTCTACACAACACGGCACAAAAGTGGCCCAGCAGACAGGAATTCTCCCTCCTGGGGGTGGGCGAGAAGATTGCAAATTCTTCCGTCATCCACTGTTATATCCCTGAAAAACTGAGCCGACGTTGAGCACCTGCTGTGTGCCCACCCAGTCTCGTGCTGTGCCAAAGGGAGTCTAAAAAAAGCTCAAGGTTGGGAGGTGAGATAAAACCAACTGGAAAGCTGTCACCCAGGGCAGCAAGGCAGTACCCGGTGAGGGAGCAGGGCCAAGCCAGGCTGCCAAGGGCACACAAGCTTTTGGCATGACACAATTCTGCAACTGAGAACTGACCCACCCCTTCCTGGCTCTGTGACCTTGGGCAAGTTGCTCCCTCTCTGTGCCTCATGCTGCTTCATCTGAAGAGAAGAGCCTCAGGGCATTGCTGGGGGGATTGAATTACACCTTCTATTCTGATAGAGGGCTTCTCTTCCCCCGTTTTGGAGATTTGGGATGGAGATACACCATGCAGTAACAGGGGTCCATCACATGAATGTCCTGCCCTCGCCCCCAAGACTGTAGTGCCCTTCAGTGACCCTTCCGTCAACCAAGAGAGCGCGGCATAGCCCCCCATGTTGAACACTCCCCTCTGTGAGGGCCCAGCCACGCTCTCTGCATGCTAACGACCAGATCAGACATCAGGGGCAGGTGTAGGCAGACCAGAGTCTCAGCGCAGGGTTCGGGAGGATGTGGAAGCCCAGCCTGGAGGGAGGAAAGGATGAGACTGGCAGTGTGGCCCTGAGCGTGGGGCGCGAGCCCGGAGCCGCCCCCGCCCCCTGCTCCTGCCAACACTAGGGGCCCGGCCTCTGGTCGGCCCCCCCCCCGCGCCTCCCCCCCCCCCCCCGCCCCAACCCACCCCAGCCTACCTCAAGCGCAGGTACGGCCTCATCAGCACCGGCTCCGACAGCGAGTCCCCGGCCACCCGCTCCGAGTGCCCCAGCCCCTGCCTGCAGCCCCAGGACCTGAGCCTCCTTCAAATCAAGAAGCCCCGAGTGGTGCTGGCGCCCGAGGAGAAGGAGGCGCTGAAGAAGGCTTACCAGCTGGAGCCCTACCCCTCCCAGCAGACCATCGAGCTCCTCTCCTTCCAGCTCAACCTCAAGACCAACACCGTCATCAACTGGTTCCACAACTACAGGTGCGGCGCGGGGCGTGCCCGCTGGGAGGGGGGCGGGTGCCGGCGCGACCGGGCCCATCGCAGGCCCAGGGGGAACCCAGCTCGGCCTGTGGGGGGGCGGGGGGGTGACCATCGCAGCCCAGTGTTTAGATTCAGAGTCAGGCAAACCCGGGTATAAACCCCAGTCCCAGCATTTCCAGCTGTGAGCACCTGAGCGCGTCGCTTCAGCTCCCTGAGTCGTAGTCTCCTGACCTACAAAATGGGAACCATAGTGGGATCTGCTTCCTGGATTTGAGGATTGATTCAGGGGGCTACCATATTTACAGAACATGCTGGCCACATGGTACGAGGTAGCTGATGATACTGGTGTCAGCTGTCTGAATTATTGCTTCAACCCAGTTTGCATTTGCCTCTGTGAAGAGGCGGGGAATGGTGTTGGGGGCACAGGCCCCAGGAGCCCTAACTACCCACTGAGCCTCATATGGGAGCCCTGATTTGGGGCTTCTGGCCTCTCCCACTCCCGAGGCCAAAGGAGAACCCTCAGTCTCCTTAGTCTCGCCTGCCCGGGGGAGTGGGTGATTCCTATTTCTGTGGCTACCTCCCATTCATTGCTCCCTAGTCTTGGGGGTCACTGGTCTCTAGTGGCTGGAGTTCCTGGGGGTTCAGTCCCGGGGCTGGCTGGGGGCGGTGACTGGTTCAGCAGTGCCCAAGGAGACGGCAGAGGGGCTTCCTGAGCTCAGCAGAGAGCCCTGCGGGGAAGGCTTGATGGGATTCCGTCTCTGAGCCTCCCTCCCCAGCCAAGCTTCCTGAGCGGGAAGGGTCTCTGGTGTCCATGCAGTGTCAGAGAGAGTCCCTCCACGTGTTCCAGGGGGCCGGGAGATGGTTTCTTGCTCCCCAAGGGAGAAGAGGAAGGAGGAGCCTGGAAAGGTGGAACGTTTGAAATCTCTCTCCACAGCCCAGGCCTGGGCACCTCAATGACTTGAGCTCAGTCTCACCTTGGCTGTGTGTTCTTGGGAGAGTCACTGTACTTCTCTGAGTCTCATCCCTGTTTACAGATAAGGCAGACAAGGAATCTAATATCCCACAGTGCTGAATCAAGGAGTGAATGAAAAAACTTTAGACATAAAAATATTGTGAGATATTTCTGCTTTTGATCAAACTCAGGGCCTTCCAAACAGCAAATGACATAGGTCCCTAAATCCTCACGTCCTCCTTCCCTTCCTGGGGATATGTGGATGTCCTCTCCCTTCTTGTTCCCCGTAGGAACTGAGCACTCCATTTTTATCCAACATATTCATCCAACAAATAGTTACAATGTATGCACACTGATCCAGGATCTGGAGATACAGGGGTTCAAAGCCATCATCCCGGGGCTCCTGGGTGGCTCAGTCAGTGAAGCGTCACCTGCTTTTGGCTGAGGTCATGATCTCAGGGTCCTGGGATCAAGCCCCACATCAGGCTCTCCGCTCAGCAGGGAGCCTGCTTCCCCCGCCCCATGATCTCTCTCACTCTCACTCCCTCTCACTCTCAAATAAATAAAATCTTTAAAAAAGCCATCATCCCTGCCCTAAGAGAGTTTAAAATATGAACCAGATAATTTTACTACAGCCTAATTACTATACAACAGGAGGACTAAGGGGCTGAGGGAAAAGGAAGTTCTGTCCAGGGGAGACTCCACAGAAGAGGTGGCATTTGAGCTGGGTTTTGAAAGATGACTAGGAACTTGCACTGAGGAGCAGAGAGAATTCCACTCCCAAAAGAAAAAAACTGGTCTCAAAGAGTTAGAGGAGAATATATCATTTCATTTTGTAAATGTTTACTGAGCACCTAGTCTGTACCAGGCACTGATGAGAACAAAACAAAGTCCTTGCCCTTCCCATCTCCTACAGACCAGCAGGGACGGACACTATTACACGAGCACTCGTATTAATGCATCATTACAAATTGCAGTGAACTCTGGAAAAGGTGAATGACAGGATGTTTCGAGAATAAATTATCAGGGAGGGGAGCCTGGGTGGCTCAGTCAGTTAAGCATCCAACTCTTGGTTTCGGCTCAGGTCATAATCTCAGGGTTGTGGGATTGAGCCCCGTGTCAGTCTCTGCACTCAGAGTGGAGTGTGCTGGAGATTATCTCCTCTCCCTCTGCTCCTTCCCCTGCTCCTGTGCACACACATACATACTCTCTCTCTCTCAAATAAATAAATATAATCTTAAAAAAAAAAAAAGATAAAAGAACTACCAGGTATACCCTGGTATAGATTCAGGAGTCAGGAATTTTATTAAAAAAAAGAGAGAGAGAGAGACTAATTTATACTATGGTGTAAATGACTATTAGCCTCATATTTATATCTGTTCTACAGTTTGGACAGTCTAATGCTGGAACTTCAGACATTGAGCCATCCTAAACCCCCCTCCAATCTCACCTCAGTGGAACCCACGAGGGCTCTCCCTGATCCCAACAGCTCTTCCCTCTTCTAGAGGAGACTGAAGGTGAAGGTGGAGTCCCGTGGACGGTGGACTAAGGCCTCCTATGTAGAGGGACTGGAGACTGAACCAAATAACCCCTCAGAGTCCTTCTAGACCCAGGCTACTGAGATGGGACCCCCATCCCCAACCTGGACAGGGAGCCAGGGGACAAGAGAGTGTAGCGAGGTCACCGGGTTCCCAGCCCAACTGCTTGCCCTGTGATCATACCAATCCTTGTGCCTCTCTCAGTCTTGTCTCCTGTATCTAAAGGAATGAGACTAATATCCTTTTCCTAAAGTTATTTTGAAAAAATAAATGAAATAATCTGGAAAAAGCACTTGTCATGGTGCCTGATGCATGATAAGCACCTCTTAGTGTGATGTTTGTAACTTATAATCGTTAGTATTACATATCAATCACATGTACTTTATTATTAATATAGACGGGCAGAGGGCCACAGCAGGTAGCTGAGGAAGCCCTTCTGTTATATAACCCTGAACGAGTCATTTCACTTCTCTAGACTTCCTTTGCTGTCAGGAAAATAATGACTGGGGTTAGTCCCAATCCTGGTTTGTCGGCTCTAAAAACAGTGTAAGACTGAGTTGCCCTCCGGTGGCAGGGAAACCACAGAAGTGAAGAGAGGATGAATGGGTTCTGTGATCTCTCTCACTCTCTCTCACTCTCAAATAAATGCCGTGGTGACCTGTACAAGTCACTCTTCACACCTCAGTTTCCCCTTCTGGGCTGATGTCTAAGAGTCCCCACAGGAAAGAAGCAGAGAGATGTTGCCACAACCCACATCTGGGTTTGGCTTCAAGAAGTGCTCTAGACTAGTGCTGTCCAAAAGAAACAATGCAAGCCACATGTAATTTGAAATTCCCTAGTAGCCATGTTAAAAGAAAACCAGAAATATACGAAATTAATTATAATAGTATATTTAGCCTAATGTAACAATTTCAGTGTGTAATCAATATAAAAACTTTACTAATGAGACCTTCTACTTTTTTTTTTTTGTATTAAGCCTTCAAAATCCAGTGTGTATTTTAACCCGTACGGCACACCTCAGTTCAGACTAGCCACATTTCAAGTGCTCAAGAACCACGTGTGGCTAGTGGCTCCTCTGCTGGACAGCACAGGTCTAGATCAAGAACTTTGGAATCTTTAACAATCCTGAGTTCAAGCCCAGACTCCACACCTACTGGCTGTGTGAGGCTTGCTTCCTCTTATATGAAGGAGGGTTAATAACAGCACAGCACCCATGAGTAAGGCTGTTGACAGGACTTACTAAGATGCTGCATGTGAAGACACCCCCCCCCCCGGGAAAGTGGGCGGGGTCACAAGGCCACTTGACTGGATGGAGTCCGGGGTTAGCTGGGTCCCCCATCCAGCCCCTCGCTCACCACCATCTCTGCCCCAGGTCCCGGATGCGCCGGGAGATGTTGGTGGAGGGGACCCAAGACGAACCAGACCTCGACCCTAGTGGGGGTCCTGGTGTCCTACCGCCAGGCCACTCCCACCCAGACCCTACCCCGCAGAGCCCCGACTCTGAGGCTGAGGACCAGAAGCCTACCGTGAAGGAACTGGAGCTTCGGGAAGGCTCCGAGGAGAGCATCACACCCCCGACCCCCCAGGACAAGGCCCAGGTGAGGATTAAGCAGGAACAGACTGAGGAGGATGCAGAGGAAGAGGCGGGCAACCAGCTCCAGGACTCGGGGGAGCCAGACAAAGGCCACGGTTCCCCCAAAGAGGCGAATCCTGACCGTCCGGGTAATGACAGACTCCCTAAAGTGGCCCCGGGGCTCCTCCTTCCAGGCGGGACCACGCCAGACTGCCCCTCACTACAGCGCCCCCAGGAGAGCGAGGGCGGGGAGCGGCTCCACCCGGACCCTCTAAGTTTTAAGTCGGTCTCAGAGTCCTCGCGCTGTAGTCTGGAGGTGTCCCTGAACTCACCCTCGGCTGCCTCCTCACCGGGCCTCATGATATCTGTGTCACCCGTCCCCTCCTCCTCAGCCCCCATCTCCCCATCCCCACCCGGCGCCCCTCCTGCCAAAGTGCCGAGTGCCAGCCCCACCGCCGACACAGCTGGGGCTTTGCACCCCAGCGCCAAGGTGAACCCCAACCTGCAGCGGCGACATGAGAAGATGGCCAACCTGAACAGCATCATCTACCGGCTAGAGAGAGCTGCCAACCGGGAGGAGGCCCTGGAGTGGGAGTTCTGAAGGCAGGGGCGTGAGGGCGCGGGGCATACCAGGGGGCCAGCGCCCCCCACTCTCGCTCACTCCCCCAGACGGGGTGGGGGAAGGAAGGAAGGAACTCAACCATCCAAAAGGGGACAGCAGTGGTATGCAGTTTACGGTTTTTGTTGTAATCCTAGTTCTCTGACGTTGTGAGTGAGCGGGCGGGGCAAGTGCCACTGCCTCCTCTTTCTGGCACCCCCTGCCCCACAGAGCACCCCCTTCTCCACCCTGGCCTCTCTGCGGGAGGCAGAAGTGATGTGGCACCACACGTTCACCTGGAAACTCCAAACTCTTTTAGAAAAATAAATATTTATAGACCTCTTTTAGATATTTTAATAAAGGATCCTTTGGAATTTATTCCCAGCCAATGCTGTTTTGATATTACAGAGAGTTATAAAATCAGGATGCTGTCACAACTGTTGCGAAGTATACACTGAAGTTGTGTCGTTTTTGCCACTAGATGAGATTAAAAGAAGACAATTGTTCAAAGCCATCACAAAACACTCTAAGACTGACCAAAATTTAGATAACCCTTGAACTGCTTTTTTTTTTCCGTATCTGTCTGTGAGACACAGCACATTGCTATTGCCCTTCCAGAAACCATGTTGAAAAGAGAAAGTCCAAAAGACTCTAAATGAAAACCTCGATGCCGTTGAGGATGTGTTCCATTCTGCCAGTCTGTCGTGCAGCCTCAGTAACCCTGAGCGTCCCGTGCCGTCGTAAATGTTGTAGAGGTGTGGGCCGTGGCCAGCCCTCCTCCCCAAAACTGCTTCCTCGCCCTCTCGTCAGAAACCTGGGGGCTGCCAAGTTTGGACACCCAGCCTGTCCATCTCTAGACAAGATGTGTTTCTGGATTCTCCGGGAAGCCAGGCGAGGGGTCAGGTGATTGGAGGACAGCACTTGAGCCAGAGTGACCCCGCTCCCCTGAATCGTGGCCCTGGCACAGGAAGTTTCCCCACTGGCTTTCCAGAACAGGACTGCGGCCGCCATCTTCCCCTTCCCGTGTTTTAAGAGAATAACAGCATTGGTCATCCCACGAGCACCCAGCACCAAAAAGTAGATTCCTCCAACTAGAGACCCCAATTCCCCTTCTTGCCATCTTTGCTCTCAAGCTGACCCAGGTGCTGTTTCTGGAAGGCCTCTGCAACTCCCAAGTTAAGGGGGAACAAAGCAAGAAGGTTGAGTTCACCACAGCAGGACCACTGTATCCCAGGCCCTAAGTCTACCCTCCTGCCTTCTGACACATGACCTTCTCGGGAGCGGAGACTCAATCCCCCCAAACTCAGAGGAGCCCTTCCTCTAGAACCTTCGTCACCAGGGTTTCTGGCGGGAGAATTCCCAGTGTGGATGGAACAGCCACCATATTGGTTTTCGACGCTATCTCTCCCGTTTTTATTTCTTTTCCTTTGTCAAACTCTCCGTGGGAAGGCTGAATTGGTGACTCCCCAGCTGAAACCAGAATGACGATGAAAAGGTGGCCACAATTGGTGCCAATCCAGTGCCCTGGGGGGAGATGGCTGAGGGTTTTCAAGGATGCAGGAAAATCCAGTAACCAGAAGGGGACAATTGAGGGCTGTTCCAGAAATCTCAACTCTCATGCACCCAGGCCAGGCTGCAGACTCCACAGTCAATGAAAAAGAACACAAACCCTGCAGGAAAACATCCTTTTCTGTACACCCAGGCTATGCATTGAAGAGTTTTCCACTGTATACATTTTTATCCAGATGAAGGTATTTTTATATTTTGACAATAGGAAACACTGACCAATTTTCAGAGTAATCAAATCTGGAACAAACGAAACATCTCCTTTTAGCCACCACCGCCCTGTCTCAATTAAGACGACCGTGAGGGAACACACAACTTCTACTGTTGAAACCCACACAACATTGAAACCCAGGCTCACCCGCAGACTACAGATCTTAGAGGACTCAATCTGGCTTTTGTGTGACGGGATTTGATTAAGCACTTAGCGTATAGTCTTTTGAACACGGAAATCCTGTTGTACTGAAAGCTAGCAGACCCATGAACAACTTTGTCAGGTTCGCGTCCTATAACGGTAAAAACAAAACAAAAACCCACAAAACCGTTTCTATGAGAGATTGATGAACTTTGTTTAAAATTTTAAAAAGAACACGTTCTGTAAACGCGTCGCTCAATACAGAATTGTATAATAATGTCTGGGTGTCCTGCTTGCTTTATTCTGGAGCTGGGGATGCAAATTGGAGGTCCGAGCTGGCCCTCAGAGGTGTTTTACAAGATGTTTTTGTGGGGGGGGGGGGACTGGCTTTTAATTAGTTTGCCACCATTAAAATATGGGGACGTGTCACATAAAAATCCTAATTACCGGCTTCTCTTGAAAACCGTAAGATCTGGCCACACTGGACACAAGTTCTAAGGTAACAGCAGTTCCCCCCTTTTAGACAGGACACTTGCCTGTGATGCGCCTCAGTCCTCGCCTGTGCCACCTGCCTGGGTCCCGTGGACATCTCTGTCGGCGACTGTGCTATGGGCTCCAGCAAAGGAAAATGGAAGGATCAGATTCTATGTTTGTCCTCAGTGCAGCAGGGTGGAAGCACGTTAGACTCTGGGCCTGAGATCATGCCTTGCCCCCACATCAGTGGCCACAGGTCATGGCCCCAGGATCACCCAGTAGAGTGAGGAGGAGGTGTCCCCGGCCTCCCGATATGAAAAGGCCAAGATGGGCTTCCCAGTAACCAACAGAGCATCACCCCTTTCCACGCTGTGTAACTCGGACCTTGATTTCCCTGTCTGCAAAATGGGGGTATCACAGCAACCAGCCAGCTCAGGAGGTGGTTATGAAGAACAACCACGCGTGTAAATTATGTTAGTGCGGCACATCAGGGCTCGACGTGACCTGTTCCCACGAGCAGAGGTCGGGTTCTTTCACCCCGTGATGGTGAGTCTCTGCTTCAAGTGGCAGGGTTTTTCTTGACCAGTAATGTCAGGAGAGTCCCTGAGATGGCATTACTCACCCGTGAGCCAAGGCCACATGGTGTCCCAAGACAGACCTCTCCTTTCTGGAAACTTTCCACATGTCCTTAAAGTGGTAATCAAATGATTAATCACCTTCATTAGGATAATTAATTACTCCAAACCCAGCAGGATTGCCCCCTGGGATGCCTGAGCACCCCATCAAGGCAGCGAGGGCAGCATCACGTAAGGCCAAGGCCCCCATCCATGGGGGTCCCGAGCTAGCCCTTAAGGGTGACATCTCAGGCAGGGCTGGCCTTTGTTCAGAGTTGGAGAAAAGGATGAGAGTCAAGAGCTCCGGGGAAGGAAGGGGAGGGCAGACCACCTGGGTTCAACCCTGGCTCCATCTATTGGAACCGTAGGACCTTGGGTATAAGCCAAAGCCGCTCTGTGCTTCAACTTCCCAAACAGTACAGTGGAAAGAATAATAATGGCAACTTCCCTATAAGGTGGTTGTGAGGGTTCAAATGAGGCAACGCCACGGACTGACTCTTTGGACCCTCGGTTCACAGCTCTGGAAAAACAGAAGGCAGAAATTCCCAGGATATGGCCCCATGGTGGCGTAGGTGGGGGTCAGAGTAGAGAAGAAGTCACATCTGACATCCACAAGCCACCTAAGAACCTGCAGAAGCAGGTGCCCCCGGCCTCTGGAAACTAAAGCTCCATCCTGGGCCATCATCTTTGGTGTTGATATTGTCCGCAGTCGCTGCCCATATGGAGTGGAAAATGCAGTAAAAAACACAGACATATGGAATGCTGAACTAGGGAGCATAGGCGAGTGGGGGTTGGAGAGACCAGAAAGATAAGAGAAGTCAGGGAAGGCCTTGGAAGAGGGTGGTGGTAGATTCCAATCAGGGGACAGAGGAGACAGAGAGCTGAGTTGGGGGAAATTGGGTGACTGTCTGGGTTATAAGTATTTATCGAATGCCTACATGTGCTCAGTGATCCAATGGCAGAAACATGGGGAACCATGAGAGTATGAGTAGTGAAGTCCAGGAAGGCTTCCTGGAGGAGAGGACATCTCAGCGGACACCTGAAATACTATATGAGTTAGAGGAGAAGCAGGGGCCAGAACATGGGGGAACAGGTCCAAAAGAGGTTGGAACTTGAGATGGGGTGGATGGAGGAAGGATGAAGGTCAGATCCTGAAGCCCATTGGGCCATGGTGGGAAATATGCCTTTCCACTGAGGGTACTGGGAGCTATGGACGGTGTGAGGCAGGCAGTTGCTGTGGTCAGACTTGCGTTCTTAGGAGGTTAGGAGGTTCCATCTGCCTGGGGAAATGGCAAGCCAGAGGAGAGAAGCAGGCCCACCTGTACATAGGCCCTGACCCTCGGGCCTCTATGGCCCTTGCTTCCTACTCCTGCCCCCCTTTGGATACTAGTTAAGCTCCTGCCCTGGGCCAACAGCCCCACTTCCCATCACCTACTGGTGAGTGAACAAACCAGACCTCTCCTGGCTGATTAGCCCATGACTGCCAGGCTGGCTATTCTAGAGATCATTCCGAAGGCCAGGTTCTCAGGGAGTCTGCTTCTCCCTCTGTCTCTCCCCCTGCTCTCTTCTCTCTGTCTCTCCTCTCCTCTCCCCCTGCTCCTCTCTGTCTCTCTCAAATGAATAAATAAAATCTTTTTAAAAATAAATAAATAAATAAAGATTAAGACCAGGCTTTCCATAGCCAAAGGCACAGCGTATATGCTGCTGTAGAATCTAGGCGCTCTTTGCGGGCACCCTGGAGGCTGACGTCACTCCTGTAAACCCAAGAGCAGTAGGGAAGGGGCAGGGAACAGCACCTTGAGTGACCTTAGCCAAGGTGACTCCTCACCCCAGGTCAGGTTCCCATCTGCCACAACGAAGGAATAAGACCGCTGGTTTCATGACCTTCTCCAGGCCCTCAGGGTGTTGTTAAAAGCACTGGTTTGGGACTTAGCCTAGCCTGGGTTTGACTCTCCGCTATCAGGTAATCTAGGGTCCTTCAATGAGACTCAGTTTCCTTATCTGTAAAATGGACCAGATCATAATAGCATCTACTTGTGTTTGCTGCCTCTTACCACACAACAATGCCAAAACTTAGTGGCTTAAAACGGTAAATGTTTACCTCTCAGTCTCTGCTGGGTCAGGAATTTAGGAGTGGGGTAACCGGGTGGTTCTGGGTCCTGGATCCCTCATGAGGGTACCAGGAAGCTGCCAACCACTGGGGCTGCAGTCTCCTGAAGGCTGTTCTGGGGCCGGAGAATCTGATCCCAAGATGGCACCCTCATGACTGGCAGGCTGGGGCTGGCTTGTTGGCTGAGGGCTTCCCTTCCTCTGTCAGTGCTGCTCAAGTGTCCCCACAACACACCAGCCAAAGGGGAGCAAGGCAGAGGCTGCGGTGTCTTCCGTGACCCAGACTTGTGAGCCCTACTGTCACTCCCACGGTATTCCCTTGGCACACAGGCCTGCCATGACTCAGTGCGGGAGGGGACAACACAAAGGCACGGACACCAGGAGGCAAGGCTCATCGGGGCCCATCATGGGGTCTGGCTACCACACCACCTTAGAAGTTTTCTTCGAAGATTAAATGAGCATTTCCTACGCTGTGGCCCTCAAATCCCTGTTTCCTACTCAAAATGCAGCTTCCTGGGCCCTGCCTCCAACCTCCTGACCCAGATTTCTGGGAGCCAGGGCCCAGGAATCTGCATTTTTAAACCATGCCCACCCCCTGCGGTGATTAGGACATCACAGGTGTCAGCAGATGGGAGGAAGAGCTAATTTTTAGTGTTGGCCCCACTGGGTGTGCCGGGCCCCAGATGCTGGTGAAACAGGAGAGCATGGGTGTGTGAAACAAACATCCGCTGGGTGTCTTGGCATAATCGGGAACGGCTGGGTTGAGAGCAATATGGATCCTCTTAGAGATGTGCGAACGGTTTATTGGGAAGATCAGGAGAAGACCCTGTGAAATCCAGAGGCAGGAGGTTCAGCCGGGCTTTGGGGTACCAGACGGTCTCTCTCTCTCAGGCCCCCTCACACCTGAGTCTGTTCCTCCAAATTCAAAGTTCCCAGGACCCTGCCTGGCTCAGCCCGCGTCTGAGACCAACTCCTGCCTGGCGACCACAGTTGGGGAGAGAAGAATCACGTGAGCTCACGGGGCACAGGAGGCAGCGATTGGCATCTCAGTGCCAAGCCCTGGGTGGGTGCGCACCAACAGCAGAGCTGATCCGCACCTTCTGGAAGGCCTGGGTGCACTGCCCTGGATCTCAGCCCCACAAAGGAGAAACAACTACAGCAGTTCCCCCGAACAATGAAGGGAATGCAGTGGCAGTGGCCCCAGCCTGCAAGTGCTTCCCAAACCCCTCCTGGTAAGAACAGCCATGGCCGTGGCCCCAAGTGCGATCAGACCAAGCCAGCTCTGACCCCTCTGTCAGGAGCAGGCAACCGTCTTGAAACCCTAAGTGAAAAAACAGTTCATGGGACCCACCTTTTAAAACGTCTTCATCAGGAAATGCAAATTTGGAGTTGGGCTTAATCAAGGAGTTTCTCATTTTTCTGCTCTTGAAGAGTTTAATTTTAGATGCCGCGACTTTAGAAATTGGGACAAGTAGTAGGAACTTTTCAATAACCAAGTTTGTGTAACATGAGTTAAGGTGTCTGAGGATGGGTTGGGAAGAGTGGACAGTTGGGACAAAACAGCCCCTCTTAGAACATAGAAGTACAGTGCTATGCTTTCAGTATTTGTTCGCTCCGAAGAGGAGATGGATGTCTCAGGGAATACTACCCAGCACTAACCTTCACCCCACTGAGCTGAGAACAGCCCTACACTTGGTCACCTAGAGCCATGCTCCTTAGAAGGAACAGCTACAGTCATTCAAACTTACCTGTTAGGAAGCCTCTGGCTGCAAAAAAAAAAAAAAAAAAAAGTACCACTCAAACCTTTAAACAAGAACATTTAATACCTCAAATTACTAGATGTCCAGGAGTAGGGCAGCCTTCTGGTCCGTTGATTTGTCAGTTCAAGAATATCTTCAAATATGTACAACCCAGCAGGGCATATTTTCCTTAGTGTGGCCTACTCATGATCACAAGACGGCTGCCACAGCTCCAGGCATCAGATGTAAGCTATCCCCAGAGAGCAATGAAGAGCTCTTCATTGTATCTCTTTTTAGAAGCAACAAGACCCTTCTACTCACATCTCCTTGGCTGAAATTCAGTCACACAGCCATTCTTTAGCAGCTAAAGTCTAGCTGATCCCTGAAAGTCAAGCGGGAGCAGCACAATTAACCATTTAGGGTAGATGGATGTGGGCAACCAGCCCATAGCTTTTGGCCTGGTTGCTGTCCTTGAGGTTCTCACCCCTACCCCAAGTGGCTTCTCAGAATATCCCTCTGAATATATACAATATCCCCCCAAAGACTGTTTGGTAAGGACAATTTCCTCTACTTTGTCCTGCTTCTGGGATGTTTTACTCATCCTTAGACACATGCCCCAAACATCCCCCTCCGTCTGGCAGAAACACTGACATACTAGCAGGTAGATGTCCAACGCTCTGGTATGGACCGACTTGTCTCCCCTTCCCCTTTCAGCGGGTTGCAAGGAAACATTCCAGCCCTCAAAAGCCTGGCACGTGAGGACACCCTTGTGACCCTCCCTCTTGGGGCCATCTCTCTCCTGCGACTTCCCCCATCCTACAGCCCAGGCCCTGCAGAGACTGTAGTCACAAACACCACAGGGAGTGCCCTGACTCAGCCTGTGCGGGGAACCACTTCCCTGGCTCCCATGTCAGCTGTGGTCCCGGGAGAGGTGGGAGTAATTACTCAGCACATGCTGGGTGCTCACGGTGACATGATTCCCTGACCCTCATAGTTTTCATTTCTTATTCATGAACTTGTTCAGAGGACTGAGGATGGTAGGTTGCTCATCCTAAGCCACATTTTCCTGAGTGTGCACGGTTTTTCCAGGCTGGCAAGGGAGGCACGTGACTCAAGTTCTGAAACCACATTAGGAGGACCTTGGGCCAGCCCCTTCCCATCTGTGAATCCCCCAGTAGCCCAGCAAACAAGCTCGAGGAGTCTTGTTTGAGCACCACCACCATCCACCCTGTGCTCACAGAAGACATCACTCATCACAGGCTCTTCCTCTGTGAACCAGCATTGATGTCAGAATTCTCTTCCAGGGCCCTAGGCAGCCACCACGAACTGATCTGTGAGAAGAGGCAGGTTTTGACTCTTCCATCTGCCATCCCTGATGTCCCTCCCAACTGTCAAGCCCTAGCCCACAGTTAACTTTTTTTTTTATTGATTTTTTTTAATATTTTATTTATTTATTTGACAGACAGAGATCACAAATAGGCAGAGAGGCAGGCAGAGAGAGAGGAAGGGAAGCAGGCTCCCTGGCGAGCAGAGAGCCCAATGCGGGGCTCGATCCCAGGACTCTGGGATCATGACCTGAGCCGAAGGCAGAGGCCTTAACCCACTGAGCCACCCAGGTGCCCCCCACAGTTAACTTTTAAGTCTTCACCTTTCCCCCCTCCTTCCTCTCCCCTCTGAAAAGGAACTTTGCAACTCCACCCCCCCACCACCATATTCCTCTGGAATTCTCTGCCCTTCTTCCACAGGATTCTAGGTGCTTATGTCCCTACTTTGACACTTTTACAGCTGTGTGAACTTAGCAGCTTTCTCAACTCGAGTCTCAGTTCCCTCATCTGTAAAACGGAGCTGTTATCTGCTGTAAGATGTTGAGAATGTGCCAGGCAGAGCATCAGCCATGGGCACTCAGCATCTACTAGTCATTTCTCCTGTAGGGTCTGCTCTGCAATGAAGGATTTTGATGGAGAAAAATGACACAATCAGCCATTTTTTTTTAACCAATTTTTTAATTTTAGCCTTTACATGCCCCTCCCAGGCTGCCTGATATCTCTGTCCCCACCCAACTCTGGAGGCAGCCTGACCCCATCTTGTGCTTTTTTTGGGGGGGATGGGGTGGAAAAGGGGAGCAGTGGTAGGCACTGTACCTTTACAGAGCTTGTAAACCTGTACCAGGATGGGGGCCGACACCTCACCCACCAGCTGGGTCCGGCCAGTACATGGGCTCTGGGCAGATCTTAACATCCCTGGAGACCCAGAGCCTATAGACAACAGCAGCCATCCCTACCCCCTCCACTCCGGACTTGGAAAGGAGGGGCACGGGAAGCGTAGGAACACCCCAGAGGCACCTGTCAGCGGAACAGGACGTGTAGAGACTGGGAAGAAGGTAGAAAACCAGGTGAGATTCTTGAGGTGACGGTCTCCAGCCTAGGCTCCTGATCCTCTCCCTGGGAGCCGTGCCAACTGCCCGCCGCCGACCCTCAGCCAGCCCAGAGCTGGGGCACCTCATCCCCTCCCACCAGCTAACAAGAAACAAAAGCAGTGAAAACATCAGGCTCTGTTGCTGGGGGAAAAACACCATAAAGTATTAAAAATTAAATTAAAACTGAAGCCCCAGTCAACTGAGCCAGCAGTGAGCTGGTGACTGCAGACACAGACACCCCCCCATTCTTCCCCGAGCCCCAGGGTCTCCAAAGACAGCAGGAAGGGGCCTCAGGACCAAGGCCCACTGTCACCAAGAGGGACCCTCTGGGGAAATACAGGTTGGGGCATATGTGTCCTCAGTTGGTCCCCAGTGTGGGGCACTGAGGACTGTAAACAAAACCCAGCTTGAGGGTCAGGGGTGTCCCAGCCCCCCGAGATTCTCCCTGGAAGAATGGCCACTGTGGTGAGTACGTAAAACAGCAGTCGGCCTCGAAGCAAAGCAAGACCTGGTCTCCCCCTCAGAATATTGGGGGTGGAGGTGGGCCGGGACTGTGGAGTGAGGGGCTTCCAGAAGCCAAACACAGCATGGCAGCTGTTTCTTTGCAGTACCAGATCAGCACCCAGGCCCTTTCTGGGTGGTGAGTCAGCTCCTGGCCACCCATCCCTGGGGAACCCGGCTAGAAAGTCAGCTCAGGCCACATCTGCCCAGCTCAGGGCTGGACAAGGTCAGGCGAGCTCCTGAGAGGCCCCAGCCCACGCTGGGGCAAAAGACCCACTTCCGAAGGAGACTGAAGTATGTGGTTAAGGAGTGTCGGGAAGGCATGTGAGAACCACCACAGGGACACACGCATGGCCCAAACCAGAGGGCCGCTGCTGTGCCAGCAGTACCTTGTCAAGGCCTGGCTGAGTCCCAGAGCAAAGTCCTGCCTCGGCCCCACTGCAAGCCAAGAGCCCTGGGAGCAGGCCATCTCAGCGCACCGGCTGTGCATGAAGACCTGCGCCTGCGCGGCCTTCTGCACCTGCCTGGGGAGTCAGGAAGGCGGCCTGGAGCCAGGCCCTGGAGCAAAAGGTCAGACCCAGGTGTGGTGCTGCAAGGCCAAGGCTTCTCTCTGTCCGTGTCCAGGGCCAGTCCCAGCGGCCAGGACCAGGGCTGAGTCGGCATTGCCTTTCAGGCCCCGGATCCTCACGTGGTCCCAGTCACCCCAGTGGGGGCCTGTTAACAGCAACAGGCCTTTGCTGGATGACTCCGGCCGGCTTGGGGCCAGAGTTCCCTGGATACCAGGACTCCGGCTTCTTGAGGCTCACCGAGGCCCCGGAGGCTCCCTAGAAGCAGGCACAGGGCCCCCTTTGAGTCCCACAGCCCTAAAGCACCCCTCGGAGCCGGGTCCCGGAAACCAGGCCACCCCGACTTCCCTCAGGAACCCCTCCACCCTGGTCTCCCAGGGCAGGGCCTGTCAGAGCGAGGCCTGGGGTTGGGGTCCAGCTGGAACCAGCTCCCCCACCACTGGGGTGACGTCAGGGCTGGGCCCGGCTCCTGAGCCACTGGCTCCTCAGCGCCCTCACCTCCTGCCCATACAGCTCGTGCAGCTGGGCGAAGGAGCCAGCGCGGAGGGGCCCGTTGGGCGCCGAGGCCCGCCGCCGGGGAGGGAGAGGCGGCGGCGCGGCGCCCGGCTGGGAGCCGGCGGCGGAGGCGCCCGCCGGGCTGGGGGCGGGGCTGGCGGCCGGGGGCTCCGCGCTCCACACGGCGCAGCCGTTCTCCTTGGGCGGGAGCGCGCGCGGGCGGCGCGGCGGGTGCGGACAGTCCCCGGCCCGCATGGCGGCCAGCTGCTGCTCCAGCTCGCGCACCACGAGCCGCAGGTAGTCGAAGCTGGCCCGCGACAGCGCCTTCACCCAGCCCTCCATGGCGGCCTGGCTCTCGGCGGCCAGCACGTAGGTGCGCGCCCGGGCCCCTGCGAAGCGCACGGCGAAGGCGAACTCCTCGGCGGCCTCCACCAGCTCCACCGTGCAGCCCTCCAGGATGATGACGCCCACCGGCTCGCGGCTGGCCGGGTCCTCGAAGTAGAAGAGCATGTTGCCGCGCAGCACGAACCAGCGGCGGTGGTAGGCCGCGTGCCGGCCGCCCTTCTTGTACAGGAAGCCCGCGTTGTCCACCGGCGCGTCGCACGTGGCGTAGAAGGCCAGGCTGCGCTCGTTCAGCTTCATGGCGGCCGCGCAGGGGCCTGTCCCTGCTCCCCAGGACAGCCCACTGTGACTCACACGGCCACCGCCACCAGGTCCCTCCCCGCACCGCGCCTCGCTGTGACCTCACTGCCCCCCTTGGCCACATGCGGCCCCCAACGCCTCCCCACCCCCTCACAGCTGAGGAAACTGAGGCTCCTGGAGCAGAAGCGGCCTGGCCACGCTCACGCAGCTCTTCAGGATCAGAGCCGGGGCCCAAATGCAGGGCTAACTAGCCCCCGAAGTCTCCCCAAGGTAAGGTGGAGCGTAACTACTGCAGGCCAAGCATTTTGTATGTATTAACTCATTTCATCTCGCAGCAAACCCCCGTTGGTAGGGACTCGCACCACCCCTATTTGACAGGTGGGGTAACAAAAGACAGAGCCAGTTACTCTGACAGTCACAAAGGAGGTTGGGCGGAACTGAAATTCAAACCCAGGCCTCATCTCAGGCCCGGAGGTTTTCAGCATCCCCAGAAACCAGACCGGCTGTCTCTTTGTGGTCCCTTCCAGGTCCCAGCTCCGCTTTTATAACTGGCTTTGATTTGCCTATCCCTGGAATGGGGATATGAACAGAACTTATTTTGGAAGGCTGTAGGGCCTTCACTCATCAAACTTCATTCATCAAATTTGTTAAGGACCTTCTATGTGCCGAGGACTGTTCCAGGCACGAGGAGTACAGCCATAAACGAGAGAGGGCCACTGCCCTGGTGGCACTGACGTGCTAGTGGCAGGGGAAGAGGGCAGACCATTAACAAACAGATAAAGGTACGTCTGCGAGGTGGTCTTCAGTGCTGTTGAAAATAAAATTCAGGGAAGGGGCCAAGGGTGTTAGGGACCAAAGGAATGTTTGACTTTAGTGGGAGTCAGGAAAGGCTATACTGAGAAGGTAATATCTGAGCAAAGACCTGAGGAGGTGAGGGAGGGAGCCCCAGAGACATACCAAGCAGAGGGAAGAGCAAGTGCAAAGGCCCTGAGGTAGGAACCTGCTACTATGCTTGAGAAACAACCAGGAGGCTGGTGAGGCCAGAGCAGAGGGGGAAGGGAAGAGGCAGAAAACACTGTTATGAAGTGACCCAGATAAAAGACCCAGGGCTTGGCCCACACTTATAGGAAAGGGATGCGGAGCGCATCTAATACCCACTTAAAGCAGAGGACTCTAACTCTATACCTTTGGCCAGTGATTTTTATCCACTTTCCCCCAAAGAGTACATGATGGGGGCAACACTGGCCAGACGGGATTAACTGGGAGGTGGAACCTGGGCCCCCGACATAGCCATACCTTCCCTTAGAGTATTTCATGGACGGTTTGTTTGGGATTCACAGCCCCACTCTGCACAGGACAGTAGCTGTATTTTTCAAGAGGCAAAGCATGTAAAGTCCCTGGATTGCAGAAGGTACTCAATGAATTCCCCAGCCTGGGTGGTGCCTTACTCAGGGCCTGGAGGAATGAGGTATGGCTGGTGACTCTCTTGGGAGCATCTGCCAAACCAGGCAACCTGACCCAGAGCAGAGGGGAACGACTGCTCCCACCTGAATCCACCTCATCTAACTTGCCTGAGCAGTCAAGGAAGGCTTCCTGGAAGAGACAACACGAGCTATGATTCAGTAGCGGAGATCAGCCTATCTTGACCTAGCAGTGGGGCCAAGGTCAGACAGAGGCCCTGAAGTCTCAGGGCATGTAATCCCTGCTCTGCCTACCTGAGCTGAGTGACTTTAGACACAGGCCGCCCTGCCCTAAGCCTCAGTTCCTCTCTCTGCAAAACAGGACTCACGCGTCCTTCCTCACACCCCAACAACTCCATGTGGACCCTGGCTCCATTTTGCACAAGAACCACCCACCCTACCTGCCCCATCGCCCTCCTACCTCTCAGGCCACCACTTGCCTCCCTGCCCTCTGCCCAGTCTGGTGTCGGCTTGCTCTTCTCTGGGTTCAGATGTCAGCTCTGTAGTGTTCGGGTCGTGTGAGCCGAGCAACCTTTAAGCTTCTCTGGGCCTCCTTTTCCACATCTGTAAGATGGGATCATGACAGCACCTACATCAGGGTGTTGCGACGTGACAGTGACTCTGTAGAAGGTGCCGAGCCTCGTGCTGGACACACAGTACACCCTCAGCAGTGGTAGTGTTGATACTCTTCTCAGCCTCACCAAATGCTCCCCTCAGCACTCTGCCTCCCCGCCTCACCCCCACTGTGCACTTATCAAGCCCAGTTGATGCCCCCCCCCCCAATCCCAACCTCTTCCAAAGCACTGGTCTAATATCTCTGCCCTCTACCCCTTCCCTGTCCTCCATCCCTATTGTCACTTACCTCACAGCTGCCGTAGCTTCCTGGTCATCTCCCTGCCTCCACCCTTGCACCTTCCCTGTCCTCTTTCTTCAGGGTAAGAGCCAAACTCCCTCCTTGGCCCCTCCCCTGGCCCCACTACAATCCATTCCCCACCGAGGGATCCCGGATCCCGTTAAGAAAAGTCCAACCACACCCCTCCTCTACTCTAAACACTCCCATGACTCCCTGCTTGTCCCAGTATTAAATTCAGTCCTACCCATGGCTTCCAAATGCCCTTCCCCTCTCTTTCCCCCTTGCTCATTCAGCTCCAGCCACCCGAGCCTCCTTGCTGTTCCCCAGACACACCAGCCTTTGCCCTGGCTGTTCCCTCTGCCTGGAATGGCCCTCTTCTATTTTCACATGGCTGACTTCTCATCCTTCAGTGTCAGCTTGACCATCAGGGAAGCAGTCCCTGACCACCCTGTACGCAAGAGACACACACCCCCAGTCACTCCCCTACACCCCAACCTGAAATCACCTGAGTCGTCTCTGCCTACTCTGGGACGGCAGGGGTTTCCGGCCTGAATTCCAGTGCCTGGCATGTAGTTGATGCTCAGATACCTGTGGAATGAATCAGACAGTTATCTTTTGAAATCTCTCTGCACCCCCAACCCACATTCATAGATGTGGAGAATGGAGACAGAGAGGTTAAGTAACTTGTCCAAAGGCACAGTGCTGTGCCCAGAGTCACGTGCTCCAGGCAGCCAGCACAAAGGGGCTGATCCTAAGATGTCCCCACCCCATTAAGAGCCAAGGAAGAGCAGTTTCCCTCATGGCTCAGCAGCTGTCCCCCTGCTGCTGCCCAAATGGGGCCAGCCTGGCCCATGATCACCACCCAGCACAGAACCCCACTCTGCCCATGACTCTTGCCTCCTCCAGCCCAGAAAAAAAAAAAGAGAGAGCGAGCAGGAAACAGAAGGGGTGCAACCTCCAGCTCCTGGGAGGGCCTGGTCACCCACTTATCTCCTCACTCTCATGCTGTTTTCCAAGTTCAGAGTCCACTCCGGGTACTGCTGTTGATTCAACAGCCTTTGGCCAAGCAGGAAGCTGGAGGGAGCCTGGCCTCTCTCTGGTCCCAGGGCCAAGTTCTCTCCTCCATCTAAAAAATGTCATTTCACCTTTCCCAGCCTGTTTCCCATCTGCCAAACGGGCTGTGGAGTGGGTTGGATGGGCTAGAATGAGGAAAACCCACTGGCGAACTCTGGGAAAGGAACCGAAAGCACTGCCATTGGGAGTCGGGGTGAGCCTCATCTATAAAGTGAGAATATTAATGTCTATCCCTCTGGGAAGGATTGAATAAATCCTGAGAAGTTGTTCTGCAAAATGTTTACCAGGTAGTGAGCACTCAGGAAAGAAGCTGTCCAAAAGGCAAATTAGTTAATTCAAGGTCTCCAGGGACACAGCTGGCCCAGAATCCAGGACTCTGGGGAAACTGAGGCATGACATTTGGCATTCAATTCAAGAAGCCAGACCGCAGGTGCTGAGATTGAATCCAGCTGCACAAGTGTCCCCAACAGTGGGCATGGGTGAGAGGGTGTGGCAGGTACAGACAGAAAAACGTGCTGAGAACCCCTAAGAAGAGGGCCTCTCCAAGACCAGGGGCCACAGAGAGCCCAGGGCCCCCGCCCAGGCCCGAAGCAGCCCCACTGCCCATTGCAGAGGCTGCTTCTCCAGGTCTGGGACTGCTCCTGGCTGCCCTCTGCTCCTTTCTTTGTGTCTGGTGTGTTCCTTAAAGGACAGCCAGAGCCCAGATGAGGTGGTTCACCGCAGAACGTGGGAACCAGAGCTCCACCACGGGTGGAGGTCCCTTATGGGGCGGGGGTCGGCGGCCAAGCTCGGCCGGCAGCCGGGGTCCCCAGAGGGTAAATTACCAGTGGCGTGTTATCGCAGATGGGCAGCTCTCTCCAGCAGAGGTCTCCCAGACAGCCGGGGATCCCGAGGCCCACGGCGGCCCGAGCCCGGTCTCGCGTCCCCTCGCAGGGCCACCCGCAGGTCCCCCCTCGCCAGGCCGTCCTTACCTCGCCGTGCAGCCTAGGGAGGTGGCGGCAGCGGCGGGACGGGAGGCGCGGGGCCCCGGGGCGGCCTGGCCATGGCCCGGGACCCGCTGGGTGGCGGCGGCAAGGGTGGCGCTTTGTCTCCTGGGTGGCGGGGCTGGCGCAGCCGCGGGAGAACGCCACTCGGGCGGAAGGAGGCGGGAGCAGCCGGACGGTCCACGACCCCCGGGCGCGCCCCTTTAACCCTTCGCAACCCACCCACGCCGGGACCGCCCCGCCTTCGTCCCGCCCCCGGATTGGCCTGCCCCGACTCGGCACGCCCCTGGGTTCGCCACGCCCCCGCTGGCCGGCTCCCGAAACCGCTCTTAAAGGGACCGCGCCTAATTCCCAAATCCCCAGTGCCCTATCCCAGGAAAGAGGCCTAGGCCCGGGGGACTGCGCGCTTCTAGGGGTAAGGACCGGCGGCGGATTTGCAGGGGAAAAATCATCTGGGGTCGTGGGCGAGACCAGGTCCTGCAGCCCTAGGCCTGGAGTCGGAGCTCTTCCCTGACTAGCGTTGCCAGATTTAGAAATTTTAGCTCCCAGCCGAATCTGAAAAACAACTCTGCTAAAAATTTGTAATTTATTAAAAAAAAAAAAAAAAAAGCAACAACCTGAATACAGCACATTTCGGGCGTTTTGACAAAGTCAGTCGAGAACTGTTTTATATAAACAGGGTGCCTGGCAACCCTACCCCTTGTCCCAGTGAAGAGGGAAAGTCCTGGAGTTGGGTGGGCATGGGGTTCGGGTCCCACTGAGCCGTTTGATTGCTGTGGGCCCTTGAGAAGTCAGTTCACGTCTCTAGGTCTCTGTTTCCTCGTCTGTAAAGTAAAGACAGTGAATATAAAGTTCATGGCACACAGTAGGTGCTTTCAGCAAACAGGAACTGCTGTTCTTTTTATTCCACCCAAAATAACATTGTTCTACCTCCTGGACCTTTTTTTAATTTCTGGCTCTTGCTGCCACCCTCCAGGACTCAGTCATTGTCCGGTCCTGGCCTGAGGACAAGAGAGGACCGGAACAGACCAGGATCATGTATTCATTCTACAGCCTCTTACTAAGCACCTACTATGTGTCATGCTGTTCCTTAATCAGTCAACAACTGAGTTCTGGAAGTGATCTGTGCTAGGAAGACAGGCAGCCATGGTGAGGTAGAAAGAATGCGAGTGAAACTTTAGACAAGGTGCTCAGAGAAAGTCTCTCTGAGGAGCAGAGACCTGAATGAAGTGAGGGAGAGAGCCATGTAGATGTCCGGGAGAAGATTGTTCCAGGCAGAGGAAACAGCACATGCAACGGTCCTGAGATTGGACCATCCCAAGCATGTTTGGAGAACAGGGAACAGGCCCAGTGGGGCTGCAGCCAAGCAGGTCAGTGAAATAATCGTAGGAAATGAGGTCAGAGAGTATTGGTTGAACCAGGTGGCTTAGAGCCTTGTGGATCATAAGATTCTACTTTTACTCTGAGAAGAATGGGGAGCCATGAGAGGGTTTTGAGAACAGGAGAGAAACATGGTCTGTCTTGGGTTCGACATGGTCCTGGCTAGTGTGAGGAGGATGAACTACAAGAAGAAGGGTAGAGGCAGGAGACCAGGGAGGATCCTATTATATTAGTCTAAGCAAGTGATGGTTGTCGCTTAGAGCAAAGCAGAAGCAGTGGGGGGTGGAGAGGAGCGGTTGAATTCTAGGCCTTCCCTGATAGTGAAGCCAGCACGGGAGAAAGTAGGACCAAGACCCACAACATGGAGCGAGACAGATACCTAAATGCATCTGATAGCGACTGAACCCCTGAATCCACCTATGCCGGATGCTGCCGTAATTCTTCAGCCAGGAAAGCATAGCCCGAATTTCCGCAACTGTAAACACTCACCGGATTAGGAAAATGCCAGGCACAAAGATTTCTGGGTCTTGATGTGCGGAAATGTTCCCAGAAGTCTGTGAACCTTGGTTCTCAGAGCCCCTCATGCTACAGTTGGGGTTTTCCACGGGTGAAAGAGGCAGAAAGCAACCACCTGGCATCTTTTTTTTTTAAATTCCTCAATATTTATTGTAATTTTAATTGAGGTGAAATTCATGTAACAAAAAATTAATCATTTTATTTATTAAAAAAAAAAATTTTTTTTGGAGTAATCTCTACACCCAACGCGGGGCTTGAACTTACAACCCTGAGATCCAGAGTTGCATGCTCCACCAACTGAGCCAGCCAGCCAGGTGCCCTCAAAATTAACCATTTCAAAGTAAACATAACATATAGCACGGTGAGGGACACCTGGGTGGCTCAGTCTGTTAAGCGTCTGCCTTTGGCTCAGGTCATGATCCCGGGGCCCTGGGATCGAGTCCCACATTGTGCTCCTTGCTCAGCGGGGAGCCCGTTTCTCCCTCTGCCTGCCACTCCCCCGCTTGTGCTCTCTCTCGCTGACAAATAAATAAAATATTTAAATGCATATGTGTGTGTGTGTGTGTGTGTGTGTGTGTGTGTATACATACATATATAGCATGGTGACTAGTTGATAACACAGTTTGTATAATTTAAATTTGCTAAGAGAGTAGAGCTTAAATGTTCTCACCAAAAGAAGAAAAAAAAAACAAAAAAGAAATGCTAAAACACATTGATGATGTGTTAACTAGGGGAGAGGAATCTTCACAATGTTTATATATGTATCAAATCATCACAGTGTACACTTTAAATGTCTTACTTTTAATTTGTCCATTATATCTCCATAAAGCTAAAAATAAAGAAAGAAAAGAAAAAAGATAGAGCTCCGAGCTTTAAAAAGTCACCAACATGGGGCACCTGAGTGGCTCAGTGGGTTAAGCCTCTGCCTTCGGCTCTGGTCATGATCCCAGGATCCTGGGATCGAGCCCACACATCGGGCCCTCTGCTCGGCAGGGAGTCTGCTTCCTCCTCTCTCTCTGCCTGCCTCTCTGCCTGCTTGTGATCTCTGTCTGTCAAATAAATAAATAAAATTTAAAAAAAAAGTCACCAACACAGGGGTGCCTGGGTGGCTCAGTTGGTTAAGGGTCGTACTGTTAGTTTTGGCTCAGGTCATGATCTCAGGGTCGTGGGATCGAGCCCCACATCAGACTCCGTGCTGAGTACGGAGTCCCCTTCAGATTCTTTCTCTCTGCCTCCTGGCATGCATGCTTTCAATCTCTCTCTCTTGCTCATAAATAAATAAATAAATTCTTTTTAAAAAAACGTCACCAGCACAAAATAAAAGAAACAATTCAGTGACATTTAGTACATTGATGATGTTTAATCACCAACACTATCTAGTCTCAGAACATTCCTGTCACTCCAAAGTAAAACCCCACATCCTTTAGCAGTCACTCCCCTTTCTCCCCTCCCTCCAGCTCCTGGCAACACCCAATCTACTTTCTGTCTTTTTTTTTTTCATGGAAGTGTACTTGACACACAATGCTACATTAGTTTCAGGTGTACAACATAGTGATTCAACAACTCTGTACTTAAGCGCTGTTCACCGCAAGCGCAGCGGCCATCTGTCACCATGCAACACTACTACAGTATTATTGATCGTCCTCCCTGTGCTGTCCTTTTCATGTCTGTGACTTCTCTTCCACAACCAGAAGCCTGTGTCTTCCACTCCCCTTCACCCATTTTGCCCATCTCCACCTCCCTCCCCAAGGGCAACTACCAGTTTGTTCACTGTATTTATGGGTCTGTTTCTGTTTTTTTGTTGTTATTTGTTCATTTTTGTTTTTTAGATTCCACATGTAAGTGAAATTGTATGAAGATCGTCTTTCTCTATCTGACTTATTATATACCCTCTAGGTCGATCCATGTTGTTGCAAATGGCAAGATTTCAGTCTTTTTTATGGCTGAGTAATATTCCATTTTGTGTATCTACCCCACATCCTTGTCCATTCATCTGTGGGTGGACACGGGCTGCTTCCATATCTTGGCTGTTATAAGTAATGCTGCATTAAACACAGGATTGCATATAGCTTTTCAAATTAGTGTTTTTACTTTCTTTGGATAAATACCCAGTAGTGGGATTACTGGATCATACTGTGTTACTATTTTTAATTTTCTGAGGCATCTCCACACTGTTTTCCGCAGCGGTTGCACCAATTTACATTTCCACCATCAGGAGAGTCCCTTTTCCTCCACGTCCTCAGCAACATATGTTATTTCTGGTTGTGGTTGTGGTTGTTTTAATTCTGGCTATTCTGATGGGAGTGAAGTGCTATCCCATTGTGGTTTTAATTTTCATTTCCCTGAGGATGAGTGATGTGGAGCATCTCTTCATGTGTCTATTGGCCATCTGGATGTCTTCCTTGGGAACATGTCAATTTACGTCTTCTGCTTATTTTAATTGGATTATTTGGTTTTGAGGTGTTAGGTTGCATGAGTTCTTTATATATTTTGCATATTAACCCCTTATTGGATATATCATTTGGGAATATCTTCTCGCATTCAGTAGGTTGCCTCTACTTTCTGTTGCTATGGATTTATCAATGCTGGATATTTCATGTAAGTGGAATCATAGTATAGGGCTTTTGTGCCTGACTTCTTTCACTTAGCATAGTGTTTTCAATGTCCATGAGCCTTACAGCATTTATCAGTACTTCCTTTCTTTGTGGCCGATCCGTATTTCACCGTACGGATATGCTACCTTTTGTTTATCCTTTCATCTGTTGAGGGGTATTCTGTCATCCCAGCCTTTGGCGGCTGTGAATGGCTGAGCAGCTTTGTGGCTGGGGACTGGGGAGAGCTGGAGAAGAGGCCGTGATTGAGAAGGCCTGGAAAGGGGAATTTGAGAACCAGAACTGAGTTGTGGCTGCGGTTACCGATCCTGATGATTTTACCTCCAAACCATGTCTGAGTCTGTCACTTCTCCATCCTTGCCACCACTTCCCCATCCCAGGCCACCATCAACTCTCAGCTCTCACCAGGACAGCTGCTGTGGCCTCCTCTCCCGTCTCCCG